GTCCAAAACAATCCTTGACCACAAGTGGGTTTGAAGATTTGACCGGATTTAATTTAGCCCTTTCAATGGGCCTCGATTCTTAGTCCCCCCTTGAATCCCATTCGTTGAGGGATTTGACAATTCAACTGTTGATCAGTTTCAGTGTTGACAATGAGTGTCGAGTGGCAAAAATAAACCAAGAGCCTTTGCCCTTGCAAGTGACTGGACTTAATCTCGTTGTTGTCGATGTTTGGCTTTGAGGCTTTTGTCTTCATAACGCGAAAAGTTCTATGTTTGATCGGAGGGGTTTTTTTCGTCTTTTTTATCGTGCTCGCTTTTGCTTATTTAAACCGAGACGAATCAGAGGCCGAAAAGGAGACAACGAGGTACTTGAAAGTAGACATGCGATTCGAGAACTCATTTGTATTGGTCTTTAGTGTCTATCCAAAAGCTAACCTAGTTTGATTCAAGATTTCTCGAACTGGTTGCTTTCACCAATTTCTACTTCAAAGTAGATATGTTACGTCCGAATCTGAGGAGACGTCCATCTCCGATCCATCTCTGAGTCGGACGTCCATCTCTGAGTCGGACGTCCATCTCTGAGTCGGACGTCCATCTCTGAGTCGGACGTCCATCTCTGAGTCGGACGTCCATCTCTGAGTCGGACGTCCATCTCTGAGTCGGACGTCCATCTCTGAGTCGGACGTCCATCTCTGAGTCGGACGTCCATCTCTGAGTCGGACGTCCATCTCTGAGTCGGACGTCCATCTCTGAGTCGGACGTCCGTTTCGGAGGAGAATGAATCTCCTCAGATTCGGACGTAACAGATACACAATTCAAGACCCAACATTTTACAAAAATCGGTATTAGAAAGAGCTTTTATTTAGTAAAAAATTAGTCGGAGTGAGCGGTGAAACCAGTGCAACGGCTACACCAGATCCTAGAGCGAATGGCTGGACATATTTTGAGATAACGAAACGATGGTACAAGGTAGTTAAATTGCAACGGTATTTTCTTTTTCATATAAATTCTAGGTGTTCCCGACAGAAAGAGCCTTTGATTCGGCAGAAAGTGACTGTCAAGAGGAGAACGGACATTTGGCATCGATTCAAAGCCAGGATGAGAACAAGTTCATTTTTGACCTTGGTACGTTAGTTAAATTCCGCATTAGACTCAAACATTGCTCACTTTGAAATCATATTTAGCAAGAAACAATACTGGCTCATGGTGGCTCTGGATAGGATTGGAGGTGAGCTGAACGCCTATAAATGACGAAAAAAACACTTTCATCAAAGCCATCAAAAGCCACTATGAATACGTTAAATAGGAAACATCAACTTTGTTTTAGAGAAGCCTACGCGATCCCAACAAGTTCCAATGGACCGACTGGAGCAGCGTTGAGTATCAAAACTGGTCGCCCGACGAGCCGAACACTCTCAGCGAAACCGGAGTGGCTGTGAGTGAGATCAATTGCTTCGTCGATTCGATCAAAAACTGGAAAATTTAGCCGTTTAGCCGGCAACTAGACTTGAAGTTAGCCGGCAACTAGACTTGGAGTTAGCCGGCAACTAGACTTGGAGTTAGCCGGCAACTAGACTTGAAGTTAATACCCGCGTCTCATAAACGATAGAAAAACGGAGTAACCCTTGGGGTCAAGCTTTGCACATTGGCTAGACGATGTTTAAGTTTAAAAGCCGGTCATTTCCTATACAGATGTGAATTCAAAAGCTAAAAGTTAAGCTAAGAGATACCTAGATGAATCTCCGACACCCTGACCTGCTGGCCACATGGAACGATCTCCCTGCCGGTCTCAACACCGGTCACACGCCCATCGCTTTTATCTGCAAAAAGACATAGCCAGCTATAGATTTCCTTTTAGCACCTAAATGACGCAAATTTTTTCTTTTTTTTCTTTGTATTGTATTTTTCCTTCTTGAAAAAAGAAAACTCCTGCTTCTAAAAGATTTCCAAAAAAATCCCCATTTGGCGGACATATCCTATTGCCGGTTTTTTCAATCGCCTTATGTAAGTAACTTTTTGTAAACGCTTTTTGACAATTTTTTTTTATTTTGCTGTTTTTGAATAAATTAGAATAAACTTGTTTATTCGAATTTATTCAAAATTTTCTTAGCCGTTCAAATGAATTGGATCGAGAAGAAATCGAAAATCATCGATTAGATGGTGGATTCGTTAAAAAATTGATTAAATTATGTGATTAATCGGTTACGATACGATATCTATTTCAGTAAAATCTCCTTTTTTTCAGTGCTGATCGAAGCAAATCGATCATTTGTCGAAAATTGCAATACAAAACTCAATATCAATGTTTGTTCGTACAACGATTTCGAAAGATCTTCTTCCATGGACCAAAAATCACGTTGACAAGAGGATTTGCTGAGCAGATGCAGAGCAGATGATGCTGATGCTCACAAGGCTGATTCAGCACTGGCGCAATCAGGATTTCTTCGATTTGGTCACCTTTAATGACCAATCCAATCGATGTCACTCATTGAAATATTCTTGAATCAAAAAAACATCCTCAAAACCGCATTCCAACATCGATTAGATAAGTTTTTGCTTAGAAAATCACATTAAAAAACGATGATTTTACTGGGTGACTATGGGTTTTTTTGTGAAAAGGGGAATGGGAGGAGGGGAATTGATGGGGAAAAGAGAATGAGGACTCACAAAGCCCGCGACCACCCATCACGTTTCCTTCAAGAAAGAAAGAAAATTGAAAGAAAGTAACAACAACTAGCCGCATAGTACTAAGAAGATTGAAAAAAAGAAAGGATAGATTATCTTTTATGTGCTTATCACGATGAACAAATCATAACAATGTTTTCGATGTTCACGAAGCAAAGAAAAATTTTCGGGACGCATTCTAAAATGCACTAGCTACCGTAATCCGCAATTTCCATTGCCATTTTTCCAATGAAGCGATTTTTCGTTATTTTTATTCATTTTTCATCGTTTTTCTTTGTCATTTCATCGCAAATTCATCAAGATCAACTGCTATATAACAGAAGTTACCGTAAATACCGTAATAATACCCCATCCCCTCTCGTACAGTCGCGTAGTCGCTAAAGTTTTTTAGTATTTCATTTTTTTTGCAAAGCACCCATACTTTCAAAAAATGCATCTTTGGTATCAAAAAAATAGCCCTGAATCTTCTTGAAAATCTTCTTTCATTTAGAATCCTAAGTAGCGTAACTATTCTATTAGAAGGGCATGCCCATTTAATTTTTTGAACCTTCCTTTTGAACCTTTTGAACCTTTTGAACCTTTTGAACCTTTTGAACCTTTTGAACCTTCCTTTTGAACCTTTTGAACCTTTTGAACCTTTTGAACCTTTTGAACCTTTTGAACCTTTTGAACCTTTTGAACCTTCCTTTTGAACCTTTTGAACCTTCCTTTTGAACCTTTTGAACCTTTTGAACCTCCCAAAATCGACTGCCCATAAAAATGGATTAGAAATCAAAAGTGTTAAAATTGTTGAAAACTATTTTGAACAATAGTTCTTGGTCCAAAACATACAGAAAACACGTTTAAAGTGAAACCATTTTCTCACCTGAACCCCTTAAGAATCTTTCCAAAAGAATGCCCTGCATAAATATGCAATGCCCTGCATTTTTTAATTTTTCCAATAATGCTCCCGAAAAACTCGTTTCCCCGTCTGCATGTCGCGATATTGTAATCACAGCAATTGACTAGAGCTCTGTGATTCATTCTTGATCAAGTGCGCAATTGAAAACAATTCCTTTATCCTTAGAATCTTAGCCGAGTTGAGTTATTCCCCATTTCCAACTCTTTCACTATCTGAAACAAACATCGAAATGTGAACATCGAAAACATTGTTATGATTTGTTCATCGTGATAAGCAAATAAAAGCTAATCCATCGTTTTTTTTCAATCTTGTTATTATTATGCGGCTAGTTGTTGTTACTTTCTTTCAATTTTCTTTCTTTCTTGAAGGAAACGTGATGGGTGGTCGCGGGCTTTGTGAGTCCTCATTCTCTTTTCCCCATCAATTCCCCTCCTCCCATTCCCCTTTTCACAAAACAACCCATAGTCACCCAGTAAAATCATCGTTTTTTATCATTCAAACGCTCATTCAGAACTAGCAAAATCAGGATTTCTCCGATTTGGTCACCTTTAATGACCAATCCAATCGATTTCACTCATTGAAATATTCTTGAATCAAAAAAACATCCTCAAAACCGCATTCCAACATCGATTAGATAAGTTTTTGCTTAGAAAATCACAATAAAAACGATGATTTTACTGGGTGACTATGGGTTGTTTTGTGAAAAGGGGAATGGGAGGAGGGGAATTGATGGGGAAAAGAGAATGAGGACTCACAAAGCCCGCGACCACCCATCAAGTTTCCTTCAAGAAAGAAAGAAAATTGAAAGAAAGTAACAACAACTAGCCGCATAGTACTAAGAAGATTGAAAAAAAACGATACGTCAAAATTCGACAAATTTAAGGTACTCTCCCAAAAAATCTGAAAGGACTTTTGCATCAACCCAATAGTAAAGATTACTCTACACTGATTCTTTCTTGAGGTATCTTTTGATCTTTTGGGTGGGTTTGAGTGATGTTCTATTGTGTGATGGGTGATTATTGTGATCTTTTTTTTTTTGGGAGCTATTCAATTCAATAAAGCATAGATATAAAATAGGTTAATGTTTCTAGTTTTTGTGTGTATGTTTTTTAAAAAACAATTGACAAGCTAGAATGACTAGCGGCAGTTAATTGTAAGCCAAGTGTAAGCCAATTGTAAGCCAAGTGTAAGCCAAGTGTAAGCCAATTGTAAGCCAAGTGTAAGCCAATTGTAAGCCAAGTGTAAGCCAATTGTAAGCCAAGTGTAAGCCAAGTGTAAGCCAAGTGTAAGCCAATTGTAAGCCAAGTGTAAGCCAAGTGTAAGCCAAGTGTAAGCCAATTGTAAGCTTGAATTGTAAGCCAATTTTCTTCTTTTGCTAAACACTTTTAGTTTCACTTGTTCAATTAACAATTTACATCAACACAATGACAATTGTTAGAATGACATTCGCTGCCTGGAAAACGAACAAGAGACCCAAGTCGATGACGTCATAGAAACGAATCCAGTATATGTAGAACTCTTCACGGATCTCCGTTTTACGAATGTAATCGCAAACATTCTGGAAGGCTTGTTATTGAGGCTTGTTATTGAGAGGTTAGCTTCAATTTAACTAGTGTACTTTGTGCTGAAAGCTGTAAACGTATTCTTTCTAACGCACTAAAGACACACTCATTTCCTTTAGAAATTTCAAAGCATTATTGCGAGAAAAGAAGAAACAAAAGTACGAGAAAGGTTATGTTTACAGAGTTTTGATTTCAAAGTACACAAAAAAAAAAGAAGTAAAGAAGAAAACTTTCGGAAACAAACCCTTAGTGATACTTCAAGTTCATTGAGCGCACTCTGGAATTCGTGTCCGTCCGCCGAGCGAAGTACTCGTAAACCCAGTCGACTTGGCTAAATCGTAAATGCTTTATGAGAAAAGTACAGTGTTTATTGTATTTAAAAGTATTATAGTCTTATCATTGTATTTTGTCTAAAAGCTAATACCGTATTTTCTCTAATAGTAGTGCACCCCGACGAGCCGAGTTGATGACTATTTTACGGTTTCCAAGCTTTCCAAGCTTTCCAAGCTTTCCCAGAAGCTCAACCCTCAAATCCCCAACAAGATCTCATCGTCAGCTACATTTTCCGACCGCACATCGATAGGTTCTGATAAGCGGCTCTCGAGATTTCAAGGAATTTAGACAAAGCTTACGGTGTACGACTATTAGAGAAAATACGGTAGTTACTAAATCAACTCACAAGGAATACCGTTGTCTCTCTAATAGTAGTGCACCCAGCGAGCCGAGTTAATGACTATTTTACGGTTTCCAAGTTTTCCCAGAAGCTCAACACTCAAATCCCCAACAAGATCTCATCATCAGCTACATTTTCCGACCCCACATCGATAGATTCTGATAAGCGGTTCTCGAGATTTCGAGGAATTTAGGCAAAGCTTACGGTGCACTACTATTAGAGAGAATACGGTATTATATACTGAAGTAATTCCTTAAATTCTAGAATTTTCTATGCTTTTTCAAGAGTTTTTAGACAAATTCATGATTAAAAATCAAAATTTCTTATTAAATAATCAATCTAGTTTCCTTAAAGCTTATTTTTTTTTCAATAAACTTTTTTCAGAATTACATAATTACATTTGTCTTCGGGAATTTCTCGAAAGCTTTCTTTGCCAGCGTTTCACTTGGAATGAACTCGCGAGTGTTCGTCCGTTGATGAGCTATCTGATAGCTATTGTTTAATAGAAATTTAATACCTGAAAAGCTGATTAGTTAGATATAAATACCGTAAATACTGTAATAGTACCCCACCCTCCTCGTAAAGTCGTGTCGTCGCTAGTCGCAAAAGTTTATTAGTATTTCATTTTTTTCAAAGCGCCCGTACTTTCCAAAAAATGCGTCTTTGGTATCAAAAAAATAGCTGAAGTTCAGGGCTATTTTTTGATACCAAAGCGCGCATTGTAGCATAAACCAGTGTCGAGAAAAACTCGTTCAAAGCTCGACTACGCGATGCTCCGGCCGTCATCATCTTTGGTATCAAGAAGTAGCCCTGAATTTCAGCTATTTTTTGATACCTAAGCGCGCATTGTAGCATAAACCAGTGTCGAGAAAAACTCGTTCAAAGCTAGACTACCCAACACTCCGCGCCGTCATTATGGGGGTGGGGTACTATTACAGTATTTACGGTAATGGTATTTATATTCAAATTTCACCTGTAGAAAAATCGAAGCCATCACGCCTAAAGAGCAAATGACGATCTCGCCAAGAACGTAGCGACCTGAAAACAATGAGACTAAAACAATGAGTCATACCATAATCCCAAGTAGATTTCCACGTTTCCAGAAAAAACGTATTCCAGCTTAAAAACTCCTCAAGAGCTGAAAGTACCCAAGCGTGGCAATGGAGCCGATTTTGGCATATCCTGTCCAACGATGTCTAACATGACAGCAAGTGAGAGAAGTGTTGTTAAACCGAGAGAAGCCTAGGAAATTAAAAGATCATTCTAATAGAAGCACCTCGTAAAGTCGCGTAGTCGCGTAGTCGCAAAATTTCAATTTTCATTAGTTCATTTCATTAATTCATTTCATTAATAGATTTTCTCTAAATGCATATTTGGGGTTTAAAATATAGTTGAGATTTGAGGCTATCGTTTGCAGCCTAAGCGCATACTGTAGCATAAAATGACACTAAGAATATGGTGCTTAAAGTTAGACTACGTGATGCTCCGGCTGTCATTCTAGGAGCCGTTTATTAGACTAATTACAATATATATATGTTATGTCCGATTTAGATTTTCGTCCGATTTAGACTCAATCTTAATCAGACGTCCGATTTAGACTCAATCTTAATCAGACGTCCGATTTAGACTCAATCTTAATCAGACGTCCGATTTAGACTCAATCTTAATCAGACGTCCGATTTAGACTCAATTTTAATCAGACGTCCGATTTAGACTCAAAATCTAAATCGGACGTCTGTTTTAGATTGAGTCTAAATCGGACATAACATATATATGAATAAAATGGCTTAAATGGTAGCATTTATCAAATATTCGAGTTTTCTAGACAGGCAACAACGCAAAAGGCAATAGTTTTGAAGAGAAAAAGGTTAACGTTGTTAACGTTAAGCGAATTAATAAGTTTGTTTCCTTTTTGAAGGGTTAAAATTTGTACAAAATGATCTCTAAATCTAGTAAAAAAAAATGATCTTAATAAAGCTTGAAAAGCCTCTTTAGATATGCCTTTCTTAAACACACTTTCTCAGCTCGATCTCCTTCATTATTCAGCGGGGTGAAGAGACCGAAAATGGCCAGTGTTGAGACGATAAATGTGGGCAGAAATAAGACATACATGTAGTAATTCGATTTGCGTTTCAATTCAATCACATAATGGAGTTCCTAAATGAAAATTGATAACGAAATTTGTGTTTGATCATTTACCCCATACATTCCCCCATCATTGTCTAAATAGTTGTAGGCGGAGATGTTCTCGACGGTCCATTCGCTGTTTCCCTTGTACTAAATAAAGTAATAATAATAAAGATTTTTAAAAAATTGACGTTTTTTTTCCAGAAGATAAGTTTCCTCAGCCGGAATCGAACCCTCGACCCCAAATGGTCCATATCGGCTTTCCAGGCAGGCGCTCTAACCACTGAGCCATCCGGTCTATGTGGCCGAGGGGAGAAAAATGGTATACAAGGGGGTAGAGAAAGAAAAACATCCGGTATTTTCCAACTCACATCGGGGCCCGGATTCAAGACATATTCCTGTGCAATGAGTTGTATCTCGTTCACCGTGTACACCCACGAACCGAACTTCACTTCGCATTGTTGCAAGTCGAACGGGAAAGCGACCAACTGAGAATGGGAATTGTTGTAGTATTGTGCTAATTTCATTTGAATCCACTAATCCAACTCACATCAAGACTGCACCTTGTCGTGTAAACAGCCGGCACACTTGTCTAAAAATAAAACAAATTTTCGAGATGCTTTCCTTTCTTGAACCTGAACCGTCCCATCGCTGAAAACGACAGAGAAGCGTGAGTCGGCGTCGATCACGTCCTCCTCAGCAGCACTAGAAAAGAAAAAATTCACTTCTAAAAAGGTCGGCTAAGGAGAAGCTAGGCTTTTGGCTCTGATCTTAGTAATATAGAATTGATCCTGTAATATAGATCGGATGCAACACAGGTCAAGAAATGTTAGGCCGGGTTAAAGCCCAAATATAGACCAGCAGAGCTGCTCCAACCGAAAGCTAGAACCAAGGCAGCATTAGAGGCCAGGTTTAGGCGTGGCCTGTTCTAAACGTGAGTTACTGTAAACTATGCTAGACCAAACCCAGCTCTAGTCAAAGTAAGGTACTTTCAATCCATAAAAGGTTTAGCTTCTGATCTAGCTAGCGTTTTTATTAGTCGAGCAAAAATTGCACTTTTCTTGGATGTTCTTTTGTTTGGCTACCGATGACTTTGATTTTCTTTTGATCTTTTTTTATTTGACTATCCATTGACCATTGAAGAAATTTCATTTTATCCAAATTTTCAAACGATTTCAATAAAAGATCAATTTTTTTTTCAATTAATTTTCAAGTTATCAGTCTATTCTATAAAATTGAATAGTTTTAAGAATTTTCCTAAAAAAATTAGGTCAAACCGAACTGAACTCTTGTTAAAACAAGATACTTCTAGTGCCCGACAGGATTAGCTTTTTCATTTACTTTTATGTTAGTCTAGAAAAATCGATTTTAAAGCAGTTTCCTTGAGACTTCTTTTGTGTCTTTGTTATATTTCCTTTATAGTTTCTATTTAGTTCCTTTCAAGTTCCTTTAAAGTTCTTTTATAGTTCCTTTATAGTTCCTTTATAGTTCCTTTATAGTTCCTATTAAGTTCCTTCAAAGTTCCTTTAAAGTTCCTTTATAGTTCCTTTATAGTTCTTTTATAGTTCCTTTATAGTTCCTATTTAGCTCCTTTATAGTTCCTTTAAAGTTCCTTTATAGTTCCTTTAAAGTTCCTTTATAGTTCCTATTTGGTTCCCCTATAGTTCTTATTTAGTTCTTTATTTAGTTGAGACTTCTTTCTTCTTCTTCTTCTTTTGTTTTTTTTTTCATTAAAGAAAAGGCACTTCATTTTATCCAAATTTTCAAACGATTTCAATAAAAGATCAATTTTTTTTCAATTAATTTTCAAGTTATCAGTCTATTCTATAAAATTGAATAGTTTTAAGAATTTTTCTTAAAAAAATCAGAATTTACCATTTGTTGCTATGGTTTCTCAATACAAAAGATCGAGACAAAAAATAGAATAAAGAGAAAGAAGAAAAAGAAAAAGGAGAAAAAGAAGAAAAAGAAAAAGAAGAAAAAAAATCGAGTGAGAAATGGGTAAAGAATTACCGGATAATTATTTTGGGTGCGCTTTTCGAGATGGGAAAAAGGCATTGATTGGAAAGGGGAAAGCAATAAACGCATCCAATTCTCGATTTTGTGATTCTCCTTTTTTTTGCGCATTACTTTGATAATTGGTTGAGTTCATTTTTCTATTTTTAATGAGCAATTTTAATCTCTTTATTATCTGGATCGTTTACTTTTTCCCGGTTCATTTACCCAATTTTAGTGCGAATTTTCTTTGACTAGTCAATTCAATTTTCGATAAATGGCTTACTTTGACTTTGACTTACAGACTCTTATTTTCTTTCTTGCTACTCAGCTACTCAGCTGCTAGATAAGAAACATTTCAATAGCTCAAAACTTATCCACTTTTTCATTACCCAAATGATAGTGAGTCTTTAGCTTGTGAGATTTTAGATTCAAGTTTTACATCTTATTAGTCGGCAACTCACCCATTAACAATAGCAATGTCAGGTCGCCAAAGAGATCTCTCAGCTGTAAGCACTCTTGTCGTGTTGCCGAATGCGCTCGGATCCCATGAGAGATTTGGATCATACCAACTCTGTAAATTGAAATTGATTGATAAATTGATATGATGATTGATAAATTGAAAAGTCGGCAAAAAAGGGGAGCAAGGGGACTCGAACCCCCGACCTTTCACCTACCCTTCGCTTACTAACCACACGCTCTACCACTGAGCCACTCGGGTAGCATGCGCTGAAGAAGAAATATGAAACATAAGGAAGAAAGAACTCTTTTGTATCTGTTAGATATTGTCTTCTTTAACAATTTTTTAGTTTTTATTCTCTATACGAACCCTCGACCTCGATTCTTTATTCTCTGTTTTTATTTCTCTAGTTAGTATGGCACAATTGTAAGGAAATTGTACCTGTATGCCAAGCATTGCCAAGCATTGCCAAGCATTGCCAAGCATTGCCAAGCATTGCCAAGCATTGCCAAGCATTGCCAAGCATTGCCAAGCATTGCCAAGCATTGCCAAGCATTGCCAAGCATTGCCAAGCATTGCCAAGCATTGCCAAGCATTGCCAAGCATTGCCAAACATTTATGCCTTCTAGATTCCTTTTCAACATTTTCACAACCAAATCCTTCTTGTTTAACTCAATTTGACTGAGAGAAATCCTCCGAAACATTCCCGTTTCTCCCAGCAACCAAAAACCTTTTCTCAACTTTTCACCTGCTTCAAGTTTACTTTTAGAAATCTCAGCTTTTCTTTATAAATGACGCCTTTTCACCTTTTGCACATCCGCCGAGAAAGTCATCTGTTCGCCTTGTTGATCGAGTGTCAATAGAACGAAATAGTTTATGGTAATCGTCACATTCGTTATATAATTATCATCTGTTATCGGCGTTGGTCTAAACTACTAAAATGATTACTGATCACTTACAAAATGTCAAAAATGATTTAAAATGATCAGAATTATTTGTCCGGTTCATTTGCCCAAGTCCAAGTTGGGTAAATGAACCGGGCAAATCATTTGCCCGGTTTGTTCGAGTAAATCATTTGCCATGAAAGAGCGAAAAGTCAGCTAGACCTGGGTTTGGCTTTAGCCAAAGATTTAGCTAAGATTTCTTAACTAAGAAGAACTAAGAAGCAATTCAAGTAACAGATTCATTCAACTAAATAGTAAACTAAATAGTAAACTTGAAATTTACTGAGATTTTACAGAGATTTTGTACTCGATACATATTGACTTCAGAAACTGGTTGATTGAACCTGATTTCTAAACCATAGATGAAAGTCAAACCAATCAAGAATCAGATAAGCTAAATAAGCTCAAAAAAAACCCCAGTTTCACGTTTTCACGCCTAGCTTTGGTTCAAATCTTTCTCGAGAAACTCCCAATCAAAAGTCATACCTGATATCCTGATCATAGCTCCCGAATAGCATATTATAGTGCTCAGGCTCAGGCTCAGCCTAAGCCTGAGCCTGAGCCTGAGCTAAGCCTAAGCCTGAGCGCAAAAAAACCCCAGTTTCACGCCTAGCTTTAGTTTAAATCTTTCGAAATCAAATCGAAAAACTCCCAATCAAAAGCCATACCTGATATCCTGATCATAGCTCCCGAATAGCATATTATAGTGCTCAGGCTCAGGCTCAGCCTAAGCCTGAGCCTGAGCTAAGCCTGAGCCTGAGCCTAAGCTAAGCCTAAGCTCAAAAAAACCCCAGTTTCACGCCTAGCTTTGGTTCAAGTCTTTCTCGAGAAACTCCCAATCAAAAGCCATACCTGATATCCTGATCATAGCTCCCGAATAGCATATTATAAACGGCTTTCTCATTATCTGACGCGGAAATTTTTGTGATCAAAAAGAAATAGATTAGCCACATTTTCGAAATATTTCAAAGATTTTCTCGAAACATTCGATTCTTTTGTGTGTGTTTTTCCCAGTTCTCATCGAATTATTCAAAGGATTTTCTTTTGTTTTGTAAAGAGACCATTTCACTTTTTAGATGCATTTCTCTTTTCTCGACCCACTCAACATCACTTTCAACCAAAGACCCGAGTTCTATTTGCAGGTAATCAAATCAAATCAAAGAATTAAAGTGTAAACGCACTTGATAAACCGGTTAACTGAAAAATCCGAAACTCTTAAACTAACAGTAAACCTAGAAAAGTGTACTTTTCTTGAGAAACTTTTTCAAGGATTTCTTTTTGTACTTCTAAAAAATGCTCTTCCTTATTGGTAAGAGCTATTGTAATCTATTCAAAACGTTTGTTTTTCTTTAAAATTTGAACTATCAGCAACGGATTTGTACATTTTCCTATCGTACATCATAGTTGCCTTGGTACTTGTCAGTTATACATCCACAAAGACTCATCTCGATCAAGCATCCCCATCCGAGTCTTCTCGGTTATCGATTTTCGTTCAACTGATCGACTGATCACTTCAGACGAGCACTCTACTTCACAGAAGTGATCATAAGTGATTCTGTTGTCAGCTTCTTGCTTCAACGAGTTGAGTCTTTGTGAATGCTAAAACCGACAAGTACCAAGGCAACTATGATGTACGATAGGAGAATGTACAAGAGCATCTTTTAGTAAACAGTATCCGTCTACAGTAGATTACAGGATCCTTTCTTCAAGCATAGATTTACCCTTTGTATAATTTGAGAGCGAGAATTTGCACAGTTTTATAAGATCTCGATCATTTTGTTGCTTACATCTTTTGTGGCACAAACTACATCATTCTGGCTTATGATGCACTCAAATTTGATATGCGAGTGAATAATTGTTGAGAAGGACAGGAAATTTGAGATGACGAAAAGCGTGGCCTCGTTGGGAGTCGCAGTAAACCTTTTCGGTCTCTACATAATCCTCTACAAATCGCCCACACATTTCAAAACGTACAAATGGCATTTGGCGAATCATCAGGTTTGTCTCACGAAAGCATCAACAAGTTTCTATACTTAAAACGATCTCTCACAAAAAAAAGCAAAAGATTTGGCGGTAAGCGGAATCGAACTCGCAAGCAAAAAGATGGGATAGGTTTTGTATTCTAACAGACTATCCCCCAGACTTTCGCTGCCTTAATCTCCCCCTGTGATGCCCTCTTATAGATGAGGTCGTGAAGAAGAAGTTAGCTAGATACTTGTTCTTCACGACCTTCTCTTGAGAACAAGTATCTAGCTAGCTTCTTCTATAAGCTGGCCAGTTTATTCGTATTTTGGGAGTAAAGTCGCGTAGTCATTAAATGTTTTACTGAAGATTTAATGAGGAATCTTAATCTCTTTATTATTTGATGAAAATTCAAAGATAATTGAAGCTATAATAGCTTATTCAATAGCCCAGATTCTTCCCTTGGAACTAGTGCAAAGTTATCAAGAAATCTTCTGCGAAATAAATAAGAAAACTCCTTTAAAACTTGAGTTGACACGAAAAATAGTCGTCATTAGTTAGGCTGCAAATGCCATTTGTTAAATGTAATAGTAATAGTGATTAGAATAAGCGTTACTAGACTAGGAGTGATTAGTAATAGTAATAATGATTAGAATAAGCTTTACAAGACACTAGCTGAGTGATTAGTAATAGTAATAATGATTAGAATAAGCTTTACAAGACACTAGCTGAGTGATTAGTAATAGTAATAATGATTAGAATAAGCTTTACTAGACTAGGAGTGATTAGTAATAGTAATAATGATTAGAATAAGCTTTACTTCCAAATACCATTTGTTAAATGGCATTTGGTTAAGTGGCGTTAAATGCCATTTGTTAAAGGCAAATCCTCAGATCTGGTCACTGTTGTTGGATCTGTTCGCCGGCTTGATGATCACCCCGGTTTTCTTCTTCCCGATGCCCGTCGGCTATCCAACTGGCCTTCTCTCGCACGCGCTCCCGCCAGAGATCTTGATGGTTTGTTGGGATTTTAAAAGAATTTAAAAGAATTTAAAAGAATGCAAAACCTTATCTAGATCTAGAGTTTTTTTTTTCTTAAAGAAATTCTTTGCAGCTAATCGCCACTTCTCTCCTTTTCCTCACTCTTTCCTCGATTTTTCATCTACTTTTCTATCGATGGCAAATGGTTGTCCCGCAGGGTCATCCGATGAAATTCAGTCGAACTTTTAAGGTATTCAGTTAACATTGCTCTACATTAAGCTCAAATTTCTTGGTATTGAGCTGTTCAATTTAAATAGTTTTTGTACTAATCGACAGAGAGAAAAATTTGACGCATCTAATAACAAAAATATTTAAATTTGATAGCCCAACACCAAGATATTGCAACTCAAATTTAGATTGCCAATGGCAAAAGGTCAAATGTTTGATAACCATTCAGTTTAGTGTGTTTAGTGGACATAAAAGTCAATTGAAAAGGCTGGTAGGTGAGCTGGAAATGAAAATGAAGAATTGAGCTTTGAATTAGCACATCTTCTAATCTCAGGATCGAAAATTAAGATCAAATAAGCCTTGTAAAGCCTGGTGAAGCCTGGTGAAGCCTGGTGAAGCCTGGTGAAGCCTGGTGAAGCCTGGTGAAGCCTGGTGAAGCCTGGTGAAGCCTGGTGAAGCCTGGTGAAGCCTGGTGAAGCCTGGTGAAGCCTGGTGAAGCCTGGTGAAGCCTGGTGAAGCCTGGTGAAGCCTGGTGAAGCCTGGTGAAGCCTGGTGAAGCCTGGTGAAGCCTGGTGAAGCCTGGTGAAGCCTGGTGAAGCCTGGTGAAGCCTGGTGAAGCCTGGTGAAGCCTGGTGAAGCCTGGTGAAGCCTGGTGAAGCCTGGTGAAGCCTGGTGAAGCCTGGTGAAGCCTGGTGAAGCCTTTCACTCTCATTTCCCCAGATCCAGCAAAGAGTTGAGCGAAAACGGGTTAAGATTAGAGTTGTTTTCGTCCGGTTCTCTTCTCTGGTTAGGAATTGGACTCCCTGGAAACTTTTTAGGCGAAAATAGCGACATTAATCTAGGTCAGGTGAAGCCAGCTAGCTCAGAGTCTAGCCAGAAATCGGGAATGGTGCTGTCTCTAGGTCCAAAGGAAATTTGTCGGATTTAAATCTGGAATTGAAAAAAATTGAAATTGAAAAAGCCATTCAACTTTTCAGGGATTTTTCCTCATCGGCGTTTACGCGTTTTTTCTTGTTCCGCATTTGGTGCTCTTTCCGCAAACAATTCAAAATCAAACCGAAGCAAAAGCGGCACTTATTGAGGTGGGGAAAGATAGCTTTTGTCAGATAGCTTCTGTCAGATAGCTTCTGTCAGATAGCTTTTGTCAGATCGTCAGATAACTTTGACCAATTTGGCTAGGTAAATTTGTTTAACTAGGGATTTTGAACGAAAAACCTATTTTTGAAGCTATTCCTTGACTAGATTGAGCTAAAAATGACTCAACTTTAGCACTATCCGATCTACGAGTCTGTCGTGAACATCTCCGCAATTTTAGTCTTCTATTTGCCGACGAATCCCCTTTTCTACACGTACATGCTCGTGTGTGGGGTGATGTGTACGGTAGGGGAAATGATGAATAATGAAATAATGAATAATGAAATGATGAATAATGAAATAATGTACAATGAAATAATGTACAATGAAATAATGTACTTTGATGCTTTTTTGAAAAAGGATCCTTTCTGGCTCATGAATTCTTTAGACTTTCATCATCGTCGTCACCGCTTTCCTCTTTCATACGGCTGCGATTTTGCGACGAAAGGATAAATACGCGAATTTCAAGACACAACTCGCACACAGGAAGTACATTATGATACTTAGCACACAGGTTTGTTATTGATTTCGATAAATAATAGATAATAATAGATTTTTAGATGAGTATTCCGATGATCGCCTTGTTGGAACCGGGTGCTCTTCTTGGGCTAATCATGGTGTTCAGAATTTGGAATGTGCAAGGTTTGTTTTTTTCTTAGACATTTCCAGGGTACTGTATCATTCCTATAGTACCTTGAGAGTACGGTAGAAACGCTACAGTTTTATAGAATAATAGTATTCAGCTGTCAAGGCTGAATATCTTTTAAAACACTTTAACAGCTAAAGTTATGAAGGGTGTATTGGCTTAAAAATTGTAGTACTTTAGTAGTACTTTTAAAAGTTACAGTATTTTGTAGTACTTGAAAATTACAGTACCTAAATTTAGCGCAGACGGATTATGGTAAAATATAGCATGCTTTAAAAAGAAGATCAAAGAAGACCAGCCGAGATAAGAGCTGCTTTTTCTGGCTGTGCCTCTGCCTCGCCGTGGCTCAGTCGGGAGCGCGGTGGCCTACAAGTCGTACGATCCGGGTTCGACTCCCGGTTGTCTCACCCTAACAAGATTTTTTTCATTTTTTAAATGACACAACTACAATATATTCTAAGACTACAATATCAATATATTCTATATTCTAAAGAAGGTTTTAGCTTTATTACTTTAAATACGCTCAAATAGTCAAATAATAGTCAAAAAAAATGCTCGTATTGACAGATAGACAGCTCTTTTATATAGTAGATACAAAAATACCGTATTTACTCGAATAGAAGACCGGTCTTCTATTTTTTTCAATCACCCCCTAGCCCCGTCTTCTATTCGAGACGGTCTTATAATCGAGGCCGGTCTTCTATTCGAGTAAATACGGTAAATCCTTTTTTTGCAATATAGCTTTACACTACATTTGCACAATAACTGAAAAGCAAAATGGTTGAAATTCACTTTTAGAACTAGCCCATCTGGCTTTTTTCACGTTCGCTTCACACGGATTGGTGGGAACGGTGACGATGCTGATCCTTAATGAACATTTCAAGGCATATTTGGCGAAGAGATTCTGTAGTGAGTGTTTTGGATTCTGTAGTGATCTAATCCAGTGAATCTGAATGCATTTTAGATGCTCGAGATCCCGATGAACCGCAGCCGATCTCGCTGAACGCTATCTCAAAAGATGTCGAAAATAATGGACAAGAACGGCCGAGTCTCGCTTCGTTACGGTTTGTTGAAAAAGAAATGGCAAAAAGCTTTTTGTTTTCGGGCTTATTTCATTTTATAATCATTATTATACAAAGAAAAAACTGTATTTCTTATCAAAAATCGTTTTTTTGCCATTATCCAAGGCTTGGAGAGAGATCGGAAAATAGATGGGTTGGTGGAAAAGTCCTGTGCCAGCTTTTTCCTAAAAGCAACATGAAAAGAAAGCACAGGGGGAAATTTTACATAAAAATGAACAACTTTCAGCTTTAACCCATTTCCCTACATATAAATACATAAATAAACATATTAGAGATAGCTTTTCCAGCATTATTTTCAAACCAAACTCTGGGGAAACTTAGAGAGAGATCGGAAAATAGATCCATTGGGTTGGTGGAAAAGTCCTTTCCGATTTTTTGGGAGAGTACCTTAAATTTGTCGAATTTTGACGTTTTATAGCTCATTCTAAAGCTGAATTCAAGATGGATCGATTGGTAAAAACCGTTTTGAGATATCTCTTTTTTAAAAGTTTTTACAGCTATTTTAGTAAAGGGCGGCAGGGCCAAAAAAGCCAAAAAATGGCTGTTTTCACGTTTCGTTAGTTTTCCGTGCAGAAACCTAGGCTAAAAACATGTGTTTCGTGATCAGCGTCAAAAATAACGTCAATAGATATTTGCAGCTCTTTACCTCTCTAGATTCCTGGTAAAGGGTTGATCTTAAAGCGCAGAGAGATCCAATTTTGATTCGTTAAAGATCAAGATCAAGATCAACATCAACATCAACATCAAGATCAACATCAAACAAAAATCCCAATTTCAGAGCACGAGCTGCTGGCGGAAATCATTTCGCGGTTTCCGGTGGATCGCCGACGATTCGCGTGTTGGAATTTGATGCACCGGGTGGTGGAGGGGGAAATGGAGGAGGAGAGGTGATGCCCGGGATGAGCAATCGTTTAAGAACCGGTTGATGGCAACATTATTCTATAGTAATGTCTACAGGAATCTATAGCAAATACGGCAGATCTTTAAAAAAGGAAATGCGTTCATTTTTTTTTGTTTTGGAATAAAATTCAGACATTTTTGTAAATCAATAAAGCCCAAAAAATGATTTTTTGATGTATAAACTTTTATGATTCGATAAAAATTGATTGAGAATAAAGAAGAAAATGAAAAAAAGTGATTAGAAATTGCAACATTTGATTAGAATGATTTCATGATTTACAAATGGATTCCATTCTCGCGAGCCCATCTTCTGATCACGCCAATGATTTGCTCGACCTGAATTGTCTTGTTTTGAAAATAACCAATCAAAAAGTATCTTGTTACCAGCCGAAACCGTTAACACCGGGTTTTTCTGGCGAGGGACGGGAGGTCCCCGTGACACAGTCGGGAGCGCGCTTGTCTATAAGGCAGAGGATCTGGGTTCGACCCCGGGTAGTGACGCTGACTTTTGAATTTTTGATTTTAAATGCTGCAACTGTATTAAACTTTTAAACTTTTAAAAAATTTGAGTTTTTGGCTCAAAGATCGCTGAGAAAAACCCGTACAGAGAGACAAACAGACAGACAAACAGACAAACAGACAGACAAACAGATAGACGAACAGATAGACGAACAGATAGACAAACAGACAGACAAGCAGATGGACAAACAGACAGACAAACAGATAGACAAACAGATAGACAAACAGATAGACAAACAGCCAGCAAACAGACGAACCAACAGACGAACAAACAGAGAGACAGACACTACTCTTTTATACAATAGATTTATGTAAACAATTGCCTGATCGCTGACTGTTTTTTTGAGGCAAACCTGAGGATGATGACCTTGCGAGAGAAGTGACAACACCTCAGACATTTGCTCTCTGAAAATTTCCCCTCCATATCTTATAAATTCAAAAAGTAATTTGCATTTGACATTCTTCGTCACCCTTTTCGTTGATCGTTTGCAAAAATGGGGTCACAGGATTTTAGAAAAGACTAAAAAGCTTTATCTCAAAATGAGCAAGTTGTTAGAATAGTCGGGAGTGTTTCAAGTGTTTTCAAAGACAAATCTTTAGGCTCTAGCTTCTCACCATGGGCCCCACAAATTCCTCATCAGAAGCCAAGCCTAGTTTCTGGCTAGAGTCTTGACTTACCGGAAACCCCAGAGTCCCTGCAAATGATTTTCAAAGATGAATATCCTATTTGTATCATATTTTTTTCCTCACCTGGTGGCCTCTCCGTGAGCCAATTGCTTGAATAGCCCAGCGGCGGCTCCCCTTTTCCCGTGCCAGTGCTCGGGTGATGGATCGGCTTTTTCTAATTGATCGAACCCAAGAAAAGCATAGAAAAAGTCGCCAATCTAGATAAAAATAATTGTATTATAACTATTTAGATTTAGTAAGTCATAAATATGACAAAATCCACCTTATAACATCCGTTTGCTATAGTTTTGAGTAAAGCAAACGCCTCAGCTGTACTTTTCGTGCGTTTATAGAGATCCCAAGCTAGTTGGGGTTTACGATTGCGAACATCTGAAAATATGACTGTAACTATTAAAGTACTGTAGCGTATGGTAATCGCTGGGTTACGATAGTCGCTTAGAACACTGTAGTTCTTTCAAATATGATAGCTGGGGTCATTAGGTAACCGTTTAGGGTACTGTAGCTTTTCGAGATCCTGTAGGTTTCTTTATTGGGTACTGTAATGTGTTGTGGGTACCTATTTAGAGTACGAAACGTTTAGGATTACTGTAACTATTCACTGTAAACCCACAACAAATAGCCAATGCTTGCACGTAGATATTTTTCCTTTTATCGTCTCCTTGTACTTGCAGAAGAGTCGCCTCAGCTTCCACATAATTCCCAGCCATTAGCTAAAAGATATTCAATTATACTATATGCTTTTTTTGTATTTTGAGAGTATCTTCAAATTTGTATGCAAATGAAATCATCACCTGTGCTTGTCCAAAGTTGAAGTAGAAAGTATCGTCGGTGAGGAAATATTGCTGTAAATGGGATTTTTAGATAAGATATGTTGATACTTAGTTATCTAATAAGGGAAGTCACATAAGCTATATACCATATGACGTAGAATTTTATGCTGATACCCATTTAGCTATCCGCTTTTGCAAAATGAGTCCAAAACTCAAGCAATCTTGCAAACAAGTTTGTCAAATTAGAGCTCAGAAATCAGCTTTCTTTCGATATAACGCTTCTTTCACCACCCCCAGCCATCACCTTGTGGTCTAGTGGATAACGGTCTCGTTTCCAGACCTCCAAATTTTTACTCGGGTTCGATCCCTTCCTTTTGTTTTTACTTTGTTTTGATGTTTAACCGGCTGAGTTTACTCTATTTTAACTTTACAATAACTTTAAATGTCATTTCGTTATCTCAGCCTTGTGAAATTGCCTTGTAAATCTTTAAAAATCGTACCTTAATCGAGTTGAGATAGATGATCACCTCATCCCATTGCTTTTGAAGAAAAAAAGAAGAGGCCATTGATTGTCGGCCGGGGATTGTATCTGATAGAGAATTCAATGGAAAACATCAAAATAAACATAACAAATTAAGGATTTAAAGGTGTTACAGAATGAAATTCGGTTGTTTATTGTTGAAAGATCTCAAGCACTGGATAAAGGTAAAACTTTGTCCTCTAGTTAAACGTGCACCCTCTAGCACACTGCCACAATTTTGCATTTTCCTGGTTTTGCTAGTGATTAAAATTGAAAAACAAAGAGTATGCTAAAGAGAATGCACGTTTGCGAGAGCACAAAGTACAAAATGGATCAAAAGGTTAAAGTTTGAATTTCGTAATTGAAACTAGCTTTCTTTTAAATCTTATAAATCATTTAAATCATTAAAATCATTTAAAGGGGGGGTATTAATCGCGGCCGGGTGACAATAAAAATTTTTTTACGGCAACCACCTGTTTTTTTATTTTAATATCGCTGATTTTATTATAAAAAGAATAAAAATCACCCGGCTAGAGTGATTTGATGGGTTTACAAATTTTTGGAGACACTGCAAGGCTTGGAGAAAAACAAGATCGTCACTCATCAGACACCTCAGCTAAAAGGCACCTATTTGAGAAAACTAAAACCACAAGCGACCACAAATGGAAAAAAGATCTAATTGTGTCAAGTAAAGCGCTGAAGATGTCCTACGGTGGAGGAGATTCAGTCACTTCTGGTGAAGATGCGCTGGAAATTGATAAGATAGGAAGCCGATTTGAGGAACTGCTGTACTTGAGCGAAGATGAAAGTGAGCAAGAGGAAGAATTATAGATTAACAATTTATTTTTATTGTTTTTTGTGCTTTTTATTTTGTTTTTAAATTTATCTGCAATTAAAATTCAAAATTTGTGGTCGCTTGTGGTTTTAGTTTTCTCAAATAGGTGCCTTTTAGCTGAGGTGTCTGATGAGTGACGATCTTGTTTTTCTCCAAGCCTTGCAGTGTCTCCAAAAATTTGTAAACCCATCAAATCACTCTAGCCGGGTGATTTTTATTCTTTTTATAATAAAATCAGCGATATTAAAATAAAAAAACAGGTGGTTGCCGTAAAAAAATTTTTATCGTCACCCGGCCGCGATTAATACCCCCCCCCCCTTTAAATCTTTTGGGGTAGGCTAGTTTCCGCAATTTTTTTTTGCGCAACTGGGTCATTTGCGCAATTCCTCATAACTTTCTTCTAATTGAGCCAATCTTTATGCTTTTGGTGTTATTTTGTTGCACTTATTGAGATCTACAAAATGAAACCAAAAGCATAAAGATTGGCCCACTTAGAAGAAAGTTATGGCGAGTTGCGCAAACGACCCAGTTGCGCAAATAACCCTGTTGCGCAAAAAAAGTCGCGGAAACTAGCCTACCCAATCTTTTAAATCTTTTAAATCATTTAAATCTTTTAAATCAATTAAATCAATTAAATCAATTAAATCTTTTAAATCATTTAAATCATTTAAATCTTTTAAAATTCTTCTAATCTTTTAAAATTCTTCTAATCTTTTAAATCTTCTTCTAATCTTTTAAAATTCTAAATTTAATCAAGATAAATGTAAATTTATTGAATATTTACATATTAAAATAGAAATAAAATCGAATAAAAGTTACCACAATCCGCCGGCGACTCGCCGACCATTTTGAAGAAAAGCTCAGCCGTTTTGAGGTGCTCTTTCTAAAGATTCGAAAATTCAAGTTTACTATAAGATTTTATGTAGACAATTTTGCTTACTATAACTTTAAACCGATCCTTTTGTTCTTTCTAAAAAAGACTAATGAAAAAAGAAAAGATTTTTGAAAATTTAAACTAAGTAAAAAAAGTATTGTAAATGACTAAATTAGTTAAATTGTTAGCTTTTTTTAAAAAAAAAAACAAAAACAATCTCACCGATCCTTTCATTTGTCCGATATGCGTAAAAGTGATGGCTTTGATGATAAACTCGGGCGCTTGCTGAGGCTCTAACTCCTCCACCAGACTCAACGCGTGTTCGATCTCTTCTAAAAGCTGAGAATTCATTCCGAAAGACGTTCAATTGTAAAAACTTTAAGAAGCTGTAATCTGTAAGCTGATAGTTTAAAAACAAGCCAACAAAATTAGTCATTGCTAGTCATTGCTCAGTTAGCTCAGTCAGCTGTCAGTCAGCTCAGTCAGCTCAGTCAGCTCATCAGCTCAGTCAGCTCACTCACGTCTTCGCAAATAGTAGAGAACGAGATTGATACGAGCTTCAGGAATCACATCGATCAGAGCGGGTAGAACCTGAAGATGAGAAAATATAGCCATTCCGTCTGTTTAGCCATTCCAACTTTTGACTATTGTCAGTAATCAGTCAAATTTTAAAATTCAACTTTGGGAGAGGCTCGGAATTGCCTTATCTCTGACTATCGCTTTTTCTAAATGACACCTATTTAGACAGACGACTGTACTCAAATGTAAAAAGCGATTATTGTCTGAAATAGGTTTTGATAGAGCATCAACCTGCAACGCTCCATCGCCATTCTTGAAAACGACACTGTTGTGCGTGATGAGATACCTGGCGAACGGGTAGAGGCTGTGTGAACGGAGTTGCTCGATTTCGAGCTGAAATTTGTCGCTTGCACAAAGAAAAAGTGGCCTTAGACACATAGTATTGCATATTTCTCTTTTCTTTAGACTGAAAAATGATCAAATTATTATTATTATTATTTAAAGCCATCCAGCTAAATGCATTTCAAAACCCGGCCAACTCGATGCTAAGCCGCCTTTTTGCAGTTGGATTAAACCAGGGATTGTATGAGCGCGCACTTTAGAGCCCCGAAACTCGGCTTAAAAAGCCTTTTCTTGAGCTCTCGTTGTCTTTTTCATAATCTACGCATAAAACTATCCCAGAAAAAGTGGTTTTGAAGAGAAAAAGTGCCCCCAACTGCCTTAGTACCAAAAGGTGCGCTAATGGTGCGCAAATGTTTAAGGGGCGCAAAAAAAGCTCGTAACACTCCCGAAAATGCTATTAAAAGCTTAGCTTAGCTTTATCCCCTTTTTTGGCTCAAAGACGGCTAAGAAAAGACAGCCAAATAGATATTTACTTTTCTTTTGCTGTTTACTGCATTCTATCACATTCTATGACCATTTCTAGACCCTTTTCCCTTTGTGTATCCCACTCATCACACTGTATGAGCGCGCACTTTAGAGCCCCGAAACTCGGCTTAAAACGCCTTTTCCCAAGCGCTCGTTGTGTTTTTCGAAATCCACGCATAAAACTATCCCAAAAATGTGGTTTTGAAGCAAAAAAGAAAATGGGCTAGGCTAATTTCCGCCATTTTATTTACGCAACTCGCCATAACTTTCTTCTAAGTCGGTCAATCTTTATGATTTTGGTGTCATTTTGTAGATCTCAATAAGTGCAACAAAATGAAACCAAAATCATAAAGATTGGCTCAATTAGAAGAAAGTTATGAGGAATTGCGCAAATAAAATGACAGTTGGGGGAGGGGGTACTTTTTTTTTTCTTCAAAACCACTTTTTCCCGGGTAGTTTTATGCGTAGATTCCGAAAAGGACAACGAAAGGCGTTTTAAGCCGAGTTTTAAGGCTTTAAAGTGTGCACTTCTATAGTGTACTTCACTATATGGAGCCCAAGTGAAGATTACGATTTAGATAAAAAGAAAAGATGACGTTAATTTAAAAGAAAGAGCAAAACATTATTGAATCTTTTTGTTGTGTTTTCTAAAAGCGTTCAGAAAAAAAAAATTGCCGTAGTACTGAAGTTAAAATTGTCATTCATCAGGGTACAAATTTAACTTTCAAAACTTTTCGCTTTTGCAATTTTAGAAATCGAATGCTTTTATCGTTGCTTTATTTTTATCGCTATCGACACCTTTATTTTTTAGCTTTCAGTACAAAACGTGGGGGTGGGACAAATGCGACTTTTTTTCGCACCTGGACATTTGCTGGAAAGGCCTTAGGAAAGGTCGTAGAGCTTCGAAAACGTTTTCATAGAAGGGTATCGTATGCGTAGAATCCGAATTTCGACAAATCAAAGCAAATCAGACCTCGCTGACACGTCAAATTTGGGCTAAAAGGCAAAAACTACGCAACTTAACGCTTTTCCGCAGTTTTTGCCTTTTAGCCCAAATTTGACGTGTCAGCGAGGTCTGATTTGTCGAAATTCGGAATCTACGCCTACGATACCCATCTATGAAAACATTTTTGACGCTCTACGACCTTTCCTAAGGCCTTTTCCAGCAAAAAAAGGTGCACAAATGTCCAGGTGCGCAGAAAAAGGTCGCATTTGTTAAATTTACCATTTCCCCATCGTTTCAACCAGTTTTTTTTTGCATGCCTATCGTTTTGATAAGAGACTATGTAATAATCTAATATAAAATTTTTACAATTTCCGTTTAGTATCATTAAAAATGCAAGTATTACATGTCCCCATTCTGTTTTTTTCATTTCATTTATTGTTTTTCAAATTTGATAATATTTTTTATACTTGCAGATAAAAGAATGCCGGAAAAGCGAGGCAGAAAGCAAAAGCTGGAAGAAGAGAAAGAACAAGTCGAGGAAAATGATGTACAAGGAAGCGCATCGATCGTGGATTTACCAATTGAAGCGGTCGAAGCAATCACGAGATATCTTCGAGCAAAAGCCATATGGAAGTTGATGAAGACGAACAGGCGTTTCTATGGGATGTACATGAGGGACCAATCGATTCTCTTTGGAAAGCACGTTCGCAAGATTCAAGTCTGGCATTACAACAAAACCTTCAAGGCCAGGAGCTCTCTCGATTGGAAGGAAGGTTATGTCAACATTGCTGAGCATTTCCACTTTATCAAGAAGATTCGATCGTGCGACACGTTGCGCTTTACGATTAGAGATTATTGCAATTTCGATCCACTGATCGAACGAGAGGTGAAAAAAGAAGACGTCGAACCGGTCGCCAATTTTCTGTCTCAGCTGCGCTCAATCGATCGTTTTCATTTTAATTTGTATGGGGAAAAGTTCTACACGAATGTTTTCACGAGTTTTTTTCCTTTGGTCAACAAATTTGCCAAGCTCAACCTTTGTCTTCAAAATCTCAGCCCTGACACCAAAGCTCATTTGACGCGTTTCATCGAGATCAGTTTCAAGGAGTGCAAAAAGGTGACATTTTCATTTGAGAATCTTGATGAATGGCGCTTTTTACCAAAGAGCTTTTTCGCAGACTCGAGTTCAACTGTTCAACTTGAGTTCAACTGTTGAACTATTCAACTTTCGACCTAAGCATTTGCTTGACGAGCTTTTGAACAAATTGCCAAATACGGAATCCCCAGTCAACATCCCGAAGCTGCAATTTGTATGGGAATCTGGAAGCGGAAAGGAAACGTTGTTAATTTGTTGTCCAGGTTGCAAGGAGTTCAACGCGTTGTTCGGAAGAGACACCGGGAAATCTGCAACAATCTGTTTGCTGACTCGGAAGTTCTTTGGCTGAGGAGAGTCGTCTTTGACGTTCGCGAAGCGGTCAGTTTTAAGCAAATTGGACCCGAGAAAGATGTCATCTACGTGGTCGATAAGAAAATGAATAAATTATTCATCAAAAACGTTCCACATCGTTGAGTTGTTAAAGTGGATGAATTGTTGTTTTGTTTTGTTTTGTTATCATAGTTTGTGTTGTTTTTATTCTATTATTGTTGTTTTGCTTTGTTTTGTTATCGTAAGTTTTGTTGTTTTTATTCTAGTATTGTTGTTTTAACAATAAAAAGTTGGAAAGCTTGGTACAATGATTTTTAAAGTTCAGGGATTTTAATATACTTGTCACTGTTGTCAGTTTTGGTTCAAATCGTTGAAATTTTAAAATTAGGCCCACGAACGATGGTAAAAAAAGTAGTTTTAGAGCTAAAATGTATCATTTGTTTTAAAAACGGTTGCTTTCTTTTGTTTTCAAATTTACCATCATCAAGTCAATCTGTATTATTTCAGAAAAATGGACAATAACACGAATTTTTAACAAAAGAAGATGAACACTGAGGGTATCAGTCCCGAGCAGATGCAGGCATGGTTTTGCTTTAACTAAAATATGCTGTAAAGTGTGCTTTGACTTTACGTAAACGTGTCATTCAGCCTTGTTGAAGTAGTTAACTAAGAAGAATTTGTTCTGAATGCCTTAAATTTGCAATGTTTGACTGTACTTTGCTTCACAAATCATTTTCTTTAGAATCTCTTCAAGAAGCTTTCTTCCAACGAGCTCAAAAATGTCCAAGAAACGTTTCAGAAGTGCTCGAGTGCTGGTGTGTTGTTGCAAAAGGAGTCGTCAAAAGAAGGAGCAAGCCTTTTTAAAATTTGCTTGGGTTTTTGATGATAAACTTTAAAATTAGTGCTTAAAAATCCAGCTTATTTACAGGACAATGAAATATGATATTTGAAAAAAGATCGTCACTTTCGCACGTCTGTAACTCCCTTGTCTTTGAGTTTAAACTATTAGTGTTATACATTTCCTGAAAGCTCTTTTCAAGGGCTACACACTGGTAATATTAATATTTAGAAATACGGTATTTTTTGACGCATTTCAGCGCACACAAGATGGGATACTCAAAATTTTTGATTTTCAAATCTGTTTTTCTTTATGATAGAGTGCTGGAATCGCTCTGAAACTACGATTTCCTGAATCTACGCAAAAATTTACCTTAGAATAATCAATGTTTGTAAAATTGTATCAAAGTTTCATAGCGAAAAAACCACATTTGCGAAATTCTCACTTCTTGGGCGGTTTATTTGCAAAAATTGTGTCGCGTGCAACTTGGAGTGTTTTTCTTTCTTTGCCTTGGGTAAAATGATAATAATTACTGTTTTTAGGTGCAATCTTGATGGGAAAGCGACAAAGATGCAATGATCTTCATGTGCTTACACAACAGGCTATCCTTAACGGCAAACAGCAAGGTCTCAACCAGAACCATTTAGCGGAACACTTTACCGTCTCTCAGTCAACCATCTCCAAGTTTCTACAACGATCGAAAGGTTCGAAAAGTGTTCCAAAAAAGACCGAAACTTGGAAGCAAAAAGAAAACTAACCGAGCTGTCAATCGCAAAATCTTGATGACATCTCGAAATAATCCTCGCTTAACAACCGCTGACATCCTTCGGGAAGTTTCTTGTCTGGATTCAGCTCTTTCCCACTCAAAACACTCCAAGTTGCACGCAACACAATTTTTGCAAATAAACCGCCCAAGAAGTGAGAATTTCGCAAATGTGGTTTTTTCGCTATGAAACTTTGATACAATTTTACAAACATTGATTATTCTAAGGTAAATTTTGCGTAGATTCAGGAAATCGTAGTTTCAGAGCGATTCCAGCACTCTATCATAAAGAAAAACAGATTTGAAAATCAAAAATTTTGAGTATCCCATCTTGTGTGCGCTGAAATGCGTCAAAAAATACCGTATTTCTAAATATTAATATTACCAGTGTGTAGCCCTTGAAAAGAGCTTTCAGAAAATGTATAACACTAATAGTTTAAACTCAAAGACAAGGGAGTTACAGACGTGCGAAAGTGACGATCTTTTTTCAAATATGATATTTCATTGTCCAGTACTGTGTAAAAAGTAAATGTTTTTTTTATTCTGGATGTTTATATACTTTTGATGAGGGGAATCGCGTTGACGTCGATGATTCTCGGCTCTAACAAACTTAGGAAAGTAGGTAATAAAGCGGTTTGATGATTAAAGTTTTCGTTTGATTCATGATTTGTTATACCTTTTGTAAACTTATTTATTTATTTAATTCTTTATTACGTATGCACCAGGAGTGTGCTGGATGTGTCGGATCGGACCGGAAATTTCGGGTAAAAAGTCCTGGACAAAAGTTTTAGAGGTTGATTGGATTAACCAATCCTGAGGAAATCAAGAGACAAAGGGTTCTGAGCGTCGTTCTCTCAGTTTAGATGCTGTCAATGCTTTAAAAGGATGCAGAATTTGTAGAAATAAAGCCATTTTAAGGGGAAAATTGATCCCAGAAAATTAGGGCATAGCCGCAAAGCAAGCACGCAAAACGGCGAAGCCGGCTCATTACGCGGCCGCGCAAAGAACACATCGCCAGTCATTTTTATAGAGATTTCCTTCTTTTCCTTTATGGATGGCACAAAAAGATATCCAGCTGAGAACTTGTACCCGGGGGTTTTTAGGGTCGGCGAGCCGATTGGAGCCATTCATTTTAATGAGTCTATCTGGATTTAACTGGGCTAAACCTTTAGATGAATTCTGTCAAGATTCTTCATTAAAGGGTAGCTGGATAACGGTAGCCGGGGCACTCTTTAGAAAACAGTACAGATTTTGTATCCGTGAACAAACCTCAGCAGCTTGTCCCGTGTAAAGCTTGTAGATACAGCACGCTTTGAGGTTCAGCGCCGCCGCACTATCCGGGTATTGGCGCAAGTAGACTTGGAGGACTTCCTACGAATGTTAGGGTTAGATTTGCAAGTGTTAAAGCTACAGTAATCTTGAATGAAGCCTTTACCCACCAAAGCCACATCGTAGTAGTCTAACTTGTAGTAGCACAACGCGAGGTAGACGTTGAGCGCGATGAAATTTCTGAGAACTTTCACGTTTAACACCGATTTCAAATACTCACTTATTATTGCTCAAGATCTTTTTGTAAATATCGACAGCTTGTTGGTAGTGATTGCGGAGGTAATGCAATGAGGCAAGACAGAGCTGATCTTCGATCGAATCCTGCAAAGGGAGAGCTGGGTTTTCGAGCTTTAGCAATCCAAAAACAATTATACTAACTTTAAACTTCGAATTTTAGTACAAGATTCTGGGCTTTAGATAATTTTAATCAAAAAAAAAGCTTTTAGTGTGACGAGTTGGCACTTTCACTTTAGAAACGAATTGTAAGCCTTGTTTATTTATTGATCTATGCAGTACACTTACTGCGGGGATCTCTGGCTGAGTTCCCCCAGATTTGTAAGAAAGCTCAAGTAAGACAAGTCAACGAGGTCTAGGCGTTGTCACGCTTGGCGCGGACTTGTTGTGATACCAGAATCGACGGATAGACATAGAATCTCGGTCTAGTAGTAAGCCACTATCTCCCACCTTCAACTGTGCATGGTGTTGCAACAATCGTTTCTCGTCGGCCAATTTGTGCGCCACATAGAACAGCAATCGATTCTGTAGGGCACTCCTTTCAGCTAGAATTGACTTCGTTAGAAAACCGATATCCTTGGGTGGAGGGGTGGGCGAAAATGGAACAAAAGAGAACATGCAAAACGGTGGTGGTGCTGGGGAGGGATTCGTTTAATGTGTTAGTGGAATAGAATTGAGCATGTCATGCATGTCATGACATTTCATGACATGCATGACGTGTACTTTTCAGATCATTTCATCAGCTGATCCAAGCTGGTCCATGTTGGCTTCAGATCATTTGATCAGCTGATCCAAGCTGGTCCATGTTGGCTTCAGATCATTTGATCAGCTGATCCAAGCTGGTCCATGTTGGCTTCAGATCATTTCATCAGCTGATCCAAGCTGGTCCATGTTGGCTTCAGATCATTTGATCAGCTGATCCAAGCTGGTCCATGTTGGCTTCAGATCATTTGATCAGCTGATCCAAGCTGGTCCATGTTGGCTTCAGATCATTTGATCAGCTGATCCAAGCTGGTCCATGTTGGCTTCAGATCATTTGATCAGCTGATCCAAGCTGGTCCATGTTGGCTTCAGATCATTTGATCAGCTGATCCAAGCTGGTCCATGTTGGCTTCAGATCATTTGATCAGCTGATCCAAGCTGGTCCATGTTGGCTTCAGATCATTTCATCAGCTGATCCAAATGATTTTTTCTTATCAAATTTCAAACTCAAATAAACAAAAGAAAAAATTGAAACAAAAAAAAGAATACTTTAATTAGCTGTGCGTGACACTTGAAATCACATTTCTTACTGTAAACTAAACAAAACACATTAAAAAAAACAAGCAACTCAATGTGACTCTCAAAAAACCAATGCATGCATATTAAATCTTAAGCCTAAGGTTCGTGATTTAAAATTCGAATCACCTAAATGAATATCTTTTGGATTCAAATGAAAGCACAAAACTCCAAAAAGAAAACCTTTATCAGCTGCATCCCTCGCCTCGACGTACATTCCCAAAAAGAAGAAACAACAGCCAGCATAAGTATGAACTTCACGAGGGCAATTCTCTTGTGAAAGCATCCATTCGTAGAGCTGAATTCGGGAATTTCATGAAACTAGGCTATGAAGTAAGAAAATTATTACTGTAGTTGTTCTTCTGGGTTGAATTTATCACAATGTCTACTCCTTGTTCAGGTTCATCTTGGGAAAAGTGATTTATACAATGAAAAAGAAACTATCTAATACTCCTTAGAAATTTAGTCATTTTGCCTAGGTGTTTATGCATTTATCTAATAAAACTGATGTCAGATTGGATTGATTCGAGGTCTCTGATATCATAGAAATTGGATTGCTTAAAGGTCTCTGATATCATAGAAATTGGATTGCTTAGAGGTCTCTGATATCATAGAAATTAGACTGATTCTAGGTCTCTAATATTATAGAAATTGGACTCATTAGAGGTCACTAATATCATAGAAATTGGATTGATTCGAGGTCTCTGATATCATAGAAATTGGACTGATTAGAGGTCTCTGACATCATAGAAATTGGAATCATAGAAATTAATCATCCATCAAAAACAGGAAAGAAAGAACAAAATAACATACAAATTATTGAATTTATTTACTTTTATTTGCTTTTTTAGATTACCTTCAACGCTTTTTTATAGTCTCCAGAGCGAAACAGGCAATGCCCCGTCCAGAGATCCGTTGCCCCATCACGTTCCCCGTTTTTCTCTTTGAACTGAAATCATGTCTACATTGTGTACAATAAAAGCTACATTTAACTCATACGAATAATTTGGTACAAAACAAATACACAATCCTAAGCCCTAAATGTAAAAAAAATCAAAAACCTTCCAGCGGGATTGAACCCTTGGCCTCTCGACTAAGGGACAAAGCTCTTAGCCAGTCGGCCATGATTGATGCGGGTCTGTGGGAATTTTTATCAAACTTAAATCCTAAAACGTGCCCCCTTTTCTCTTTTTAGCGTAATATTGTCTCTATTTTTATTGAATCGATTCACTTGATTGTGAATCGATTGAAATAGCTCATCAAAGGGTTCATCAAAGTTTCACAATCGTTTCTTTTGTATTACGGTACACTATGGCACGCTGTAGAATGCATTAAATCTTTAATTAAAATAAAATACTCAAGTTTTACTTTAAAAACGATTTTCTCGAACCTCCAAAATGGCCAATGCTCCCTGGTAGTCGCGGATCGAGAGAAACTCGTCGAGTTCCGGTACCTGTAAATAGAAAAAGTGAAAGAAATTTCAACAATTTGATAAATAAATTGATTTAAAATCGATTACAAATCGATTTTAAATTTTTGAAATCTATTCTAGATTTGCATATTAGATTAGGTTGTTAAAAACTATTTGAAATCTAGTCGTTTATCAAAAAATTAGGGAACAATTTATGGGTTAATTTTTAAGAAATCACTGTGCAAACTTTTTCCAAGAACTTTCTCCCAACCAAATAGATTTAAAAAAAAACAAAATAGCGAAACCCCAGCTTTTTCCATGAAAGCTTTAGGGTTAAATTCTTCTGATAACCTAAAAAAAACTCAATTTTTTAAATGTTTAAAAGCTATAATTATTATTTAATTGAAATAAATAAGAATATATTAAGGATTTCGCTGATTTTTCGCACTTTTTTTCTCCGATCTCGATCCTCCTTTCTACGAATGGCATTTCCTGGTTTAAGACGAGATAAAATCTAAAAAAGAAACATGAAAATCTTATTTTAAATCTTTAAAAACTTACCATATTTAAATAAATATAAGAATTCGAAAATGAATTTGACAATGAGAAATTTCTAAAAGAAAACAGTTGACAGGTTGCTATGGGAACGCGCGATTTGTGGGAAATGGAGTGCATGGCCTAGAAATTGAAAAATAACGAATCAATGCAAAAGAAAAACCTTATCTATAACTTTAGCTAGAAATTTACCTTATATTTTTTACTTTTATTGATTTTCGTCGAAGAAGTCGGCGATGCGCTACTGGCTAAGAGCTTAGACTTAGGCTTAGGCTTAGGCTTAGGCTGAGGCTTAGGCTTAGGCTGAGGCTTAGGCTTAGGCTGAGGCTCAGGCTTAGGCTGAGGTTTAGGCTTAGGCTGAGGCTTAGGCTGAGGCTTGGGTTTAGGCTTAGTGCGAAGGCTTAGGCTTAGGCTGAGGCTGAGGCTTAGTGCGAAGGCTAGCTGCTAGCGCCTCGCACTAAGTCTATTTAGGTTTGGGCTGAACCCCCATTTTCTTGGCCAATTGATCTAGACAAATCATTTTAACTTTAACTTTAAAAGCTTACAATTACCGTAACTCTCATGTAGCTTTTCGACTAACGCGAAATCACCGTGTTTTTCTTGTTCATCCGCAAGAGAATGCAGCAGCTTATCACTATAAAGAATTTTAAACAATCAAACCCACATTAAATCATTTATTCCAATCGGAAACACATCTGCTAGTAGGGCCAATGGACGGAGGGGGGTCAACGTTCAAAATTGGTCGATGATCGCCACACTCTGCGTCGGATGAGCGCATCAGGTCGATCAAAAGCTCAGATGATGACACCTCACTAAACTCCTTCAGCACATTACTAGAATAACACTCATTTGTGAAAAGATTTAAGCGCTTATCCCGTCTCAATTTGAACGTCAACTTGTCGAGACTTCGCGAGTATCCTTTTCTGTTCTGTAGTATCAGGCAGAAACCGTTAAATTTCAAATCTTGAGTTGTGAGCAAATAAGAATTAAACAACAAAATTTATTTTAGCACGAACAGAGAATTTGAAAAACATTGATCCTTATCTTGATGAAATGAAGACGGGCAACTAAAAATGAAACATTTGATTGATTGTCGTGATAGAAGTTGCAATTTAGATTATCTAATCTCAAAATTTCACTAACTCTTAATACAAATCTTATCTTAAAAAACTCAAACGATTTATTTACAATTTACGATCATGCATATTTCTATTACCTTTCTATCAATAACCCAAAAAGGGTTGTAGGAAAGAATAGGATAATAATGAAAGTCAATTATACAATGATAACTAGCTGTTACAATCAAAAAAACTAACCTTAATAGGGGGCATAACCTACACGATTAAGGGCGCTCGTCACTGGACTAACAAGATCAGCATCCTCAATTTCGATGTACAAGTCCACATCACAAACGTCGTCATATTGCTGCGCGGCTTGACGCTTTCCCTTAAAATTAGAGAAATTAAAACTAATTGCAGTTAGATTAAAGTCCAATTGAAATGTGATAAAAATAACCTGAAGGATTACGCCTGGGATAAAGATGGCGGCAGTTTTGCCTTTAGACAATTTGGGACATTTGTTCTGCCTTGTTGTGTAACGCCGTGGTGCATTTTGAGTGAAGCGTAGGGTCTTGCCGTCCACAGCGATCTCGATATATCCTTGAGTCACATCCACTCGAGTGTAGTCCACAAGAACGCTGTACATTGGATTCATCGTGAGGCTGAAAATGATTTTTATTCTACATAGTCACATAAGAAAAGAAGCTAAAAGGATTCCGATAAAATGAATTAAAATACATGCAATCAAATTGATATAGAGAAATTCATGGAAACCTTTATTCAACGTAACTTAAATATAACCAACATTTGTTCATCCGACTTCTCATGGCCATCAATTCCCCTCCACATCGAAATCGTTTTCATCCTCGAAGTCCTCATCCTCATCAACTTCCGAGTCGTCACGAGGTAGAACCAACTAAAATTAATCAATTGATGAGTTGTTATCGTTGATTCTTGTAATAGTTAAGTCAAAGATTCCGATAGCGAATTGGATAATAGCTATAACAATATAAATCAACCTTCGTAAGGATCAAAACGCGTAAAAAATCACCTGTTGGTAATGCGCAAGATTTCCGATTTTGGTTACAAAATCGGCAAACTTCATGACATCGTTAAATTCGACGCATAGGGCCACAGAAGGAAGGTCAAACCAAGAGTCGCCACCATTAGCCTAAAGACAAATAGATCAATAACATCTAACCAATCTCTCCCTATCAGGTTTCACAGGGTTGATTTTATAAAAATTTAATCGAGTCTGAAATGAAAATGATCAACCTGTAATAACATTTCAGCCATTGTAATCTGGGTCCCTCCAATTGTTTTCACCGAAAATTTGCGAAGGTCGCGATTATCGGGGAAAACAAAACGAAAAAGCTTGGCTCTATGACCCAGCTCCAGATAGTTTGGCGTCACTTCAAGCGAATCGAAGTCTTCGAAGAAACAGAGTTGAGTTGCCATGTTGCGCCAACTAAAATAGGATATTAGAATGAGAAATCAAGATACTGAAAAAGAATCCACGAAAAGCCCGAACAAAAACATCATAAAAGCAGATGAGTAAAATGCATTAGCAGCTTAAAAGAATTTAGTAGCATAATGAGGCCCTTCAATTAGAGACACTAAAACAATAATGGACAATCTGCCTAAACATAACCATCCACAAAACCAAAAAATGTTTAAAACTACTGGGGGTGGGACAAATGCGACCTTTTTTTTGCGCACCTGGACATTTGCGCACATTTGCGCCGTAGAGCTTCGAAAATATTTCCATATAAGGGAATCGTATGCGTAGATTCCGAGTTTCGACAAATCAGACCTCGCTGACACATCAAATTTGGGCTAAAAGGCAAAAACTGCGGAAAAGCGTTAAGTTGCGTAGTTTTTGCCTTTTAGCCCAAATTTGACGTGTCAGCGAGGTCTGATTTGTCGAAATTCGGAATCTACGCATACGATTCCCTTCTATGAAAACATTTTCGAAGCTCTACGACCTTTCCTAAGGCCTTTTCCAGCAAAAAAAAGGTGCGCAAATGTCCAGTTGCGCAAAAAAAAAAGGTCGCATTTGTCCCACCCCAAACTACTACCATAAATACTGTAATTGGACCCACCCCTCTAATAGTACCCCACCGAACGCGTAATTACAAACAACGCTTTTAAAGCGGAAAATTTTCATGTATTTTCAGAAATCGTTTGTTTTTTAATTTTATCCCATAAATTTGGAGTGGCTACTTTGCGCCAAATTTTTTGCCCAGCTCGCCATAGCTTTCTTCTAAGTGGGCCAAATTTTATGCTTGTAGATTGTAGATCTCAAAAAGTGTAACAAAGTAACATCAAAATCATAAAGATTGGCCCACTTAGAAGAAAGCTATGGAGAGTTGCGCAAAGAATTTGGCGCAGAGTAGCCACCCCCCCCTTTTTACTTTATTATTTTTATTTTTTCAGATATGGATCTCGACGGGAAATCGCTTGATGGATTTGAGGAATATCGGGCTCGTTGCAAAAACGAAGAACACAGGGAATCCTTCAAAGAACCGCGTGATGAACGAGCCGAACTAGCACAAACATAGCTCTCGTTCCTGGAAATACACAATATAGGATTTACTACGGGATATCAAAGTTCGTTTTTGAAACATTGTACAAAAAATTACAGTTGTTGCAGTCTAATTTACCGTATTCTCTCTAATAGTAGTGCGCACTACTATTTTTTGAACCCCCCTCCTGGACCGCAATACTATTAGAGAGTGCACTACTATTAAAGAGTTTTATCGTTTACCAAAGTAAGGCAGATATAAGATTTGTTCCAAAAATTCTTGCAATTCTTTCATGTACTCCTTTGGCTCCTTTTGACATACAGTTGTGGGCCGGCGAGTTGACAATTTGTGTCTTGACAAACAGCAAAAAGATGTTTTTGCACTTTGCACAACAATTTTAGATTTTTTGCTAGCTTTTTCATGTGAAGAATAGTTAATAAATGAATAAAAAAAAGCCTCACTTTAGCTTGCTTGAATAGCTTTAGAATGTCACATAAACATAAAGTCAAAAAGGTTTAGATGAAAAAGAAGCATCAGAAATTCAAATTTTCGAGGCTGCACTACTATTTTTTCAACCCCCTCTCGGACCGCAATACTATTAGAGAGTGCACTACTATTAAAGAGTGCACTACTATTAGAGAGAATACGGTAAGTTGATTATGTATTGTTCAATTTTGTTGTTTTTGCATCTTTGGTTGTTTGTTCTAAAAATAAACTTGTTTGCAATCCACAACCGATAAAAAAATTCTGAAAACTTCTGTAAAACATAAAACAACAACTGAGTCTAAATCGGACATAACATATATATATATACAATCTGTCAAAAAATTATAGACACACCCTGTTTTTTGCTAGTTTAGAGCCGGATATAAGTTTATGAAGGTGAGTTGATGTCAATCAATACACCAAATCTTTTAAAAGCACTTTAGTTTTTGATAAAGGCTAACGAAGGTGCAACAATTGTGTAAGTGACTTACTATTAGTTCCTTTATTAGAGGAAATACCCCTTTCAATGATTATGTTTGATAAGTTTGGCCAATTAGCATTAAAAGTTGGTTAATTAGGATTTATCTTAAGTATGGTCGAATTCGGACGTTCGAAATCGACCAGAAGATAATCAATGACCGGATTCGGACGTCCGGATCCGACCCTGACGTCCGGATCCGATCCTGACGTCCGAATAAGATCCGGACGTAACATAGATACATATGTTTGTGCTTAGAAAGTCACCCGAATACGACTATGCTTTGACTGTGTGACTATAGGTTGTTGTGTGAAAAGGGAATGCGGGGTGGGGAATGGATGGAAAAGAGAAAGGCACGGGACCACCCATCACGTTTTCTCTTAGATCACCAACAAAATTTCCTTTTAGGCCACCCACAACGTTTCCTTTTATACCACCCACGTTTCCTCTTAGATCACCCACAAAGTTTCCTTTTAGGCTACCCACCACAATTCCTTTTAAAGTGGATAAAAAGCATAAAAACTTCAAAAATTGCATAATTCCCTTTTAAGCTGCTGCTAAAGCTTACACGAATGTCCTAGATTTTACAAAAAACCAGCAAGCCAGCTGAAAAATTGCCCACTAAAGAAGAGGATTTGATTGATATCTCGGAGGCCGTAACGCTCGAAGGCCGTAACGCTCGAAGGCCGTAACGCTCGAAGGCCGTAACGCTCGAAGGCCGTAACGCTCGAAGGCCGTAACGCTCGAAGGCCGTAACGCTCGAAGGCCGTAACGCTCGAAGGCCGTAACGCTCGAAGGCCGTAACGCTCGAAGGCCGTAACGCTCGAAGGCCGTAATGCTCGAAGGCCGTAATGCTCGAAGGCCGTAATGCTCGAAGGCCGTAATGCTCGAAGGCCGTAATGCTCGAAGGCCGTAACGCTCGCAACTCATTTGTACAGTTAAACTTTCTTTTTCTTTTGACAAAAAGAAGCTATTCAGCAGTTAGGTTTTTTTTTTGATTTCTTATTTTTATTGTCCGATTCGAGGATTTTCATAGATTCACATAAATTTTCGCTTTTCTTTATAAATCCAAAAGTTTTCATTAAAAATCTTTTATTCCTCACAAAATATTGAATGATTCTCTTTCTTTCAGTTCTCTTCGCTGCTCTCAACGTGACCACTGTAATATGCAAATTTTCGAGAGTTTTTTAACGTTTAAGGACAATTCGAATTGCTAAGGCAATTTTCGGTATCTACAGTCGAACTTCGCGATAACGATATCGAAGGGGCTGAGAACGATAACATCTATACAAAGCTTCGAAAAAGCGCCGCACATTTTCCGCGTAGCTGCTGCTGCTGCCCTGTGCGGGGCAACGGTTGCACCAAATTGGGCAGCTAACGTTATCGAGAAGTTCGACTGTACTAATTGTTTTCAATTTCAATTGTTTTCCTTCATGTAAAACTCACTGTTTAAAGGGTCCACGCTGAGGGACTAATTTCTTTAAATCCTCAGGCAACGAGTCCAGAATTTCCTGAATCATGAATTTTATTTGTTTCTATATATTTCTATATATTTCTATATTTCGATTTACTTTCGATATTTTTCGAAACAAACCCGAATCTTCTTGAATCGATCCCTGAATTGGATTGATCGATCCTCGTGAACGGCTTTGATTTTAGCCTAAAGCTTAAATTTGATTGCTTTCGAAACAACTAAGAGTAGGTTTCTTTTCTTCTTTTCTAAAGCTACAGTAGCTACTCTACCCGTCGAGCGTTCAGCTAATCCTAAAAAAGACGCATAATTTGCCGACAAATCTACCAATCTTTTTCCTTGATTTTATTCCGTCAAATTCTACCTAAAATCCCCATTTGCTCATAGAAAAGAATGAAAATTGAATGAAAAAAAAAAGAAAATCTGTAGGAAAGAATACGGTAGGGTTTCCAGAAATTACACAACTTTTAGGAAACGAATTTCTCGATAATCTTAGGCAAGACACTATTCTAGACAAACTACTGTAATCCATCCACGAGTTTTCATTCAATTCAGCCCCAAATTCAATGAAACTTATGATTTCCTCGCAAATACCGTATTCTCTCTAATAGTAGTGCACCGTAAGCGTCGCCTAAATTGCTTGAAATCTCGAGAACCGCTTATCAGAACCTATCGATGTGGGATCGGGAAATGTAGCTGACGATCTAGTGGGGGATTTGAGTGTTGAGCTTTTGGGAAAACTTTGAAACTGTAAAATAGTGACCAACTCGACGAGGCTGGGTGCACTACTACTAGAGAGACAACGGTATTCCTTGTGAGTTGATTTAGTAACTACCGGATTCTCTCTAATAGTAGTGCATTCCGATCGTCGTCTAAATTACTCGAAATCTCAAGAACCACTTATCAGAACCTATCGATGTGGGGCCGGAAAATGTAGGTGACGATGAGATCTAGTGGGGGATTTGAGTGTTGAGCTTCTGTGAAAGCTTGGAGACCGTAAAATAGTGATCAACTCGGCTCGGCTGGGTGCACTACTATTAGAGATAATTATTTAAAATTGGGATCAAGTGAAAAATGGTAACTGGATTATGGTAGTTTATCTAGAGTAGTGTCTTTTAGAAAATGAATTGCTTAAGAGCAATTTCTCTAGTCAATCAGCTACCGTACTTGAATATCAGCGGGCAACTTCTCGACGAATTTCGGTTGCGGAAAGTGTGGTCGTTTGTCGGCAGGGAGACTCTCAAAGAATTTGTGTAGCTTCTCGCGACGCTCCTTGCGATCCGGCTAAAGCTTTTCCGTTTTAGAGACTTGATTAATTAAGGCAAGAAGGTAAGAAAGTAAGAAAAAAGAAGGCTAATTACTAGTCACGTGTGCATTGGCTTTAAAGCCCTAAAGTGTTCTAAAGTGTGCCGTAATCAAAAAAAGCTTCATTGCCCGCTGCGGCTCATTGATGCTATCGTCTGCTGTAGACCGTAGCCCTTGTAGCATTGATGCCATCGTCTCATTGTTGTAGCCCGTAGAGCCCATGTAGCATCGTCTCATCAACGCTACAAGGGCTACGGTAGCTAGGGCTCTCTTTAGAGTACCCCAATCAGTAACAGTGTTCGGAAAAAGCGTGCACAAAGTCGATTGCCGACTCACCGTGCTGCTCTTGATCTCCTCGACTTGTTTGCGCTGATCCTCGGGCAAAGTGGCGAGGAATTTCGTGAACTTGAATTGATTTTAAAAGTTTTTGCAAATCTTTCCCCTCAAACGAACCCATTCGTGTCGGTGATGTCGTTTTCCCTTTTCCCCATCACCATGTGCTGTTACAAAAACAATCACACACACGCAAAAGACAACCAATTTCAGCATTGCTAAATTTGAATTTAAATGAATGTGAAATCAAATGTGACAAAGAAAAAAACTTAAAGCTTTAAAGTATGCCATTTGTTCATTCAAAAAAAGATAAAAAGTGTAAAATTTGATTCGGCTCATTTTCTTCTACAAAAATTGTTGTAAAGAAATTTAAAAGACTCAAAGAAAAGAGAATTCAGGGCAATTTTCATAACTGCCCGGTGAAAGCCAGTAGTCGTAAAAGCTAGAGTAAGGTGAACTAACTTAAAGCCAGTGAAGCTAGAAGCGTATGATCTGAAGAGCTATGCCGGGGGATAAGACTACAGTAGCTACAGTAGCCACAGTAGCTAGAATTACAGTGATCAAAACATTAAAGAAATTCAAAAGTTCACAATTCCCGATTTCAATGCGATGCCCTTATATCCCTTTCCCTTCCTTTACTTGACCCTTTTCTTTTGTACGAATTTCGCGAATTTATCAACAAACACGCAAAGAGAGAGAAAGCAAAGTAATCGAAAAGATCAGCAGCGATTTTTTGAAAATTGAGACGTTTCTTTTTCATTTTCCTTTTTTTTTACATCCAAAAGCGTCGCTTATCGGTGATCTGTGATGAGAGTTTTTATCATCCGCCCCCGCTCAATTTAGCTAACTAAGGGGGAAAGGCACCAACTTCCCGTGAGCTTTCGTTTCCAAATCACACACACCTTACTAAATCCAGTATCGAGATTCAGATCGAGATCCAGTATCATAATCTGAAATCAAAATCTCCCAAATAAGCTTGCAAATGCGTCAAACGATACGCGTACGATTTACATCACAATGAGCAATGAGTGAAAATAAAAACACTTTTCTAAGGTCAATTTTTGATGGAGAATCCGAATTTGCATTTAAAATTACGGGTTTTCTTAGCGGAAGTACCACTTTTCACTATATCTCATAGATGAAAAATGCAATGGTAAAAACCTGCAAAGTATTACATTTAAAGAAATCTAAAAACCAAAAAACCAAGAGCGGGCTCGAACCCCGATCTTATGGACCGAGAGCCCATCTCACTATCCACTAGGCCACCAGTGCCCAACAATCGAGTCATTGAAAAGCGCCCTTTAAAGCTTATCTTCGAAATTTCGATTCATTTTTTTTGCAAGCTTCTTTGGGAGATTTTGATTTCAACTTCTGAATCTTCATACTCTTTTTAGTAATATGTAAGTGATCCGGAAACGAAAGCAACGAATTTTGCCCATATTTTGAGTCTATCGAATTTACCCACAATTTAGACTTCGACACAACTGAGACTACGGTAGAATGTACACAAAGTAAAGTTTGAATAGTTTACGAGTAAAATTTTGCTCATGTTTTGAGTCTATCGAATTTACCCACAATTTTGACTTCGACACAATAGGGCGATTTGAATAGTTTACGAGTAAAATGGCTTCTCACCAATAGGGGATTCAAACTTTTCTTTTTAGTAATATGTATGCGATCCGGAAACGAAAGCAACGAATTTTGCCCATACTTTGAGTCTATCGAATTTTTCCTTTACGTGCTTCTACGCGAAGAAAAATCGCTATTTGTATGACGGGAAAATTTGCCGGAAACGAAAGCTCACAGAAAGTTCGTGCTTTTCCCTAATAAGTGTTTTCGGAAATTACATAAAACCAACTGATGTGTACTAATAAAAAATGCCAAATTACGGGCTCGATTTTGGGAAACTTTTACTTTCCGGCAAATTTTCGACCGTCATACAAATAGCGATTTTTCTTCGCGTAGAAGCACGTAAACGAAAAATTCGATAGACTCAAAATATGGGCAAAATTCGCTCAATCATACCTTTTCCCAATTGCATTTTAGCAAAAAATGTAAGAAAAAAAAGTTTCAAAAAACCCTTGACCCTAACCCTAAAAGGACGTCTATTTTTACGGATGATTTCCGTGCTTTTCCTTCAAGCTTTCCGACAGCACTAAGTGCATAAATTTCCTTCAAACACACAAATTCAAAACACAAAAAGCTCTTTAAGCGCCACTCATTTCAAAAAGAAAAAAAAACTTTTTTGTCTACAAACTCTACAAATCTTAATTCAAACTCTGTAAAAAAAACTACTCGGTGACAGTCAGTAGTCGTAAAAGCTAGAGTAATGTGAACTAACTTAAAGCCAGCAAGGCTAAAAATGTATGATCTGAAGGGCTATGCCGGGGGATAAGGCTACAGCTAGAATTAGCTAGAATTACAGTGATCAAAACATTTTTACGGATGATTTCCGTGCTTTTCAAGCTTTCCGACAGCACTAAGCGCCGCATAAATTTCCTTCAAACACATAAATTCACAAACACACACACAAAAAAAAGCTCTTTAAGCGCCACTCATTTCAAAAAGAAAAAAACAAAACTTTTTCTCTACAAACTCTACAAATCTTAATTCAAACTCTGTAAATGCAATGTATTTTCGCGTCGCTTCAACTATTCATTTGCGCATTACAAAACCAAAAAAAAACGAATCACGATTGTTCAGTAAAAAAAAAATTGATTTAACCTCACCTCAACATACTCAAATATTTCAAAGATAAAGAAAAATTTTAAAAAAACTTTACATAAACCGAACATCGTCTTTTCCCAGGCTGTCGTCCTTGTTCGTCTTTGTCGCAGCAAATCTTCTTGTTGTTTACTCGATTGCCCGACTTATCAGTCGCCTTTTTTCGCGTTGTCATAACCATCGTCGTCGTCATCATTGTCGTTGTACCCACAATGTAGTCGGCTGTGACGATGCCGAAGGGGATCTAAAAAATTCGAAAATCAAATTAAGTAACATAACTTTCGGAAACTAAACGTTATTTTACTCTTTAGTTTATCGTCTCAAAACCCTGTTGAAGATTGATTCATTTTTTTTGAAAGTATCTATTATTTAAAAACATTCACCGAGTTTCATGTCGGCTCATTGACCAGCTCATTCCTCCAGCTCATTGCTCCAGCTCATTGCTCATTGCTCACTCGCTGTACCAGGTGTTGAGTACCTAAAAGAAAGCGAAATTATAAATGCAGAGCCAACGTTGATCCTTTTATGATACTGCTGAAGACTTATACAAGATTTTGAAGTATTCAGTTAGAAACACGATTGAGAGCTGCTAATTGAATAGACATCTATTAGATCATAGGTTTAACACTGGTCTACTAATGTATCACATTAGAACTACATGTTCAGGCTATTTTACAAATACAAAAGCAATCCGTACCTTTCCTTTAAACTCGACGATTTGTTGAACAAACTTGCCGGGGCTCGGACCTGGGAATCGTGGACTGTCCGTTTTACCTGAACTGCAAATTAGCCATGAGTAAGCTGGTAAGTGATAAAACAAAATCGGTAATATAACGCAAAAAACGCTCGATAGTCAAAAGCGTAGCGAATGACCAAGTTTTCAAGAAAACGTGCCATGAATAAATTGAAATTATTTTTTCAGGACAATGCTTTGTTTGTGTAAATGTTCATCTGCAAATCTTGTCATTTCATGTATGCAATTGTGTGTAAGCCTGCCTCGCACTTTTCCCTCCACAAATTTGATCAATAATTTATTTAACTCGGTAAAGAAACAAATAACCTCAAAATTGACCTACACAACATATTAAAACAACTAGTGTTCGGCAACAACAGCAAAAATGTAACCAAATCAAAAACTTTTCGTAAAAGAACACAACACTGTACGTGAAACAAACATGAAAATAATGTATGAAGAGACCTTGGAGGAATGGGACAGCCAGAAAAAGAACAAAACATATTGCAAACCAACATTTTAAGTGTAGTGTGAACAACAAAGTAGACCCAAAACAAATGAATTTCATCTAACGGCGTCCCTCCTGTTGCGTGGGTGGTGGAGGAGGACCAGAGCGAGCCAACTTGTCCACAAATTCTTCCAGCATGCGATCACGCTCCGAGCCAGAGTCTTTCAACACCAAGTAGCGCTTGTCTTTCTAAAGAATAAACGCTATTGCAAATTGTTAAAGGTTCAGTTCATCATTGTCATTCAAACCACCTCAAGGATTGCTAGAATATCCTTCAAATGTTGCTCGTTGTCCTCCATCTTCTTCTTACTTTCAAAGGTGATGATTGGAGTTTCCTAAAACACATTTTACCACAAGAAACTCGTAACTTCAAACTTTCAACAAGTCCTTGAAGTCACGAACAGCTTGATCATGTTTCTCCTCAACCCAATCGCGGAATTCACGCTCGATTTTCTAAATTTTCTTTTTAAAGTTGTCTAACTCAACTTTAACGAACTCTTTCGGAGAGTTGCCCAAGACATTTCTGGAAGACTTCATCCTTTTCAATGATCTTTCTAGCATCTTTCCATCTAAACTTATTGTATTAACCTTGATCTTAACCAAATACCTCATGCCGTGATCAATTTCCTCGTGCTCGGTGAGCAATTTTTTGAAAGCTTCTCTTCGCTTCTTGTCTAGTGTCCTGAATTAAAACTAATGCTCAAATATTATTATCAAAACATACTTCAGATGTTCACCATAAAGCTTTTCCTTGTCCGACTTGTCCAAGAGATCGCATTCTTCATAACGATTGTCCTTTCGGAGCACTCGCTTTCCATCATGCCATGACATGTCAGCCGATTTTATCTAAATTTAGTCGTAAAAATTTCTTTATTTTATTCTTTTGTTTCAATTGGTTAAAATCAAGCTCACTAAATCATTGCAAAGAGCTTTGAAAGTCTGCTCATGTTCTTCTTTCTTATGGCGCTCAAGTTCCTTGCGTCGTTCTTGCATTTGTTCACCCAGCTCGGCTTCCACTTCTTCTTGCCGTTTAGCAATGGCCGCTTCAGTTGCAAGTCGTTTCTCGCGAGCCGCTTCCTCTTCTTGATCCTGTCATGATTTAGCGTTAAAGGCTTCAAATGTTTAAAACTAACTGAAAGTGTCTCATCAGCAAGTTTATCCACATGATCCTTGAACAATGATTCACGAAGAGAACTGTCGAGATACTTATCTTTGTAACTAAAACTCCGATACTTTGTTATTGCAAAATCCTCTACCGTTCATCATCTTCAAGCGCCTTTTTCACTTCCTTCCATTTTGACTTGCGCGTGAGACCATTTTGCTCATTAAGCAGCTCCAAGAAAGCTTTCTTCGCCTAAACATTTCAGATTTGGTTATCAGATTATTGCAGATTTACCTTGTCTTTCTTATCCTTGCGTTCGTCCTTCTCCTTCTTGTGCAACTCGCCAACAAACTCGTTGAACATATCCTCTCTAAATCGTATTCAAATTTTATACATCCACCAAAACCTTACCTATCACGCATCTTTTCAACTGATTTGAATCTAGTGTCCTTGCCAAACTTCGAAGAGAATGACGAGAAAGATGACCTGTAATAGTTTAGCATCAAAAATACAAAGCATTACTCACTTTCCGTGCAATTCCGCCTCTTTCAGCAATTCTAGGAATTTCTCCTTTGCTTCCTTGGCTTTTTTCTTCTTTTCTGTGCGCTCCTTCTCCGTTTTCTCCTTCACAAAAGCTTCGAAAGCCTAAAATTAACTTTAGATGCTTCAAAATTTTTCCTGACCGCTCGGCGCTCATTGGCGGAAAGCAGAAGGTAGCGTGGATCGAAGACAATCTTGCTCAATTCCTAAAAACATTTACTACAGCACCCTATTCAACAACAAACCTTCTCGAATGTACTATTTGTGGCAATATCCTTCTCAACGAGCATGTCTTTGAAGTGCTTCAATCGCTCTTCCAATGGAACCTAGGCAATGGCTGAAGAAGATCTTTTACAAATTCACAATACCTGGTTTCTCTTATTTTGAGCCTCGAGTTCAGCCTGAATAGCGGGATCTGGTTGCTTGTCGAGCATCTGGCGCACTGGTTGCTAAACAAAAATTAACTGGGTTGCATTGAGTATGATTATTGTGCACTATTGAGTGAGTAAACACACCTTAGCTGCTTTCGCTGCTTCAGCTGCCGCCAATTGTTGTCGCAGTTGTGCTTCCCTTTTCTTTTCCTGTCGGCTCTTCTTGGCTTGTGGTGGTCCATGGTGATCATCATTAGCCTCATCGCTTTCTCCATCGCTATCACCCGGCTGTGGTTGATTTGGTGGTGGAGCTGAGCCTAAAATAAAGTTATAATCTATTTATGGAAAGACCCCTACCATCTGTCTTTGGCGGTTCGGTGATCAACTTATCAACATCGGCACGATTGTATAATTCAGGTGGTCGCTCCCAGACAGAAGTGCGAGTAGATGGATTGAAAAAGAAGACCTAAAGTCAATAAATAAGTTTCAAGAACACTCTTTGCCTTCGTGTCTCCAGTCCAAACGACACACCACGGCGTACCAGAAATAGGCGTACTCGAGATTGGCCTCGACTTGTCTTGTGGAGTCTAAAGTTTTCCTTATAACATTCACATTGAGCTTCTACCTTTGCAACAACAGTAGTAGTTGGTCTAGCATCTTCACGAGCCTTCACTGCTTGAGCTTCAGCGAGTTTCGCTTGCTAAACAAAAAAATTAATAGCAAATGTTAAAACACATACCACTTCAGCCAATGCCTGTTGGGCTTTAGCTCTAGCAGCCAAAGTTACTTCATCAAGTGGTACTTCAGTGTCAACTAAATTATATTCTTCAAATCCAAAATTTTGCTTTTAACCTTCTCGCTTCCTCAGTGCAGCCGGCTTATCCCATGTGTTCTCCTGAGTGATCGCGTTGAAGTAGTACTTTCGTCCATCTAAATTTAACACTAAGATTTCCAACCGAATACGAACGGTACCTGGAGCTGTGAATTCTTGCCAAGCGTCGTCAACTTTCCCTGGAGGGCCTCCACCATAAGGTGGACCTAAAAAAACAGTTAGACCATTGCATCAAAATTCCTGGACATACCTCCCATTGGTGGATAACCAGGGCCTCCTCCTGGTGGCATCATTGGTGGCATAGCTAAAAAGAGAAAGTTAATAAATTTAGACAATCACTGAACCAGGACCCCCTAACGGCTAAAGCTAAGAACGCGGCGCCTTAATCTCAAAAACGGGAACACTTGCACATTTGATATTTTTATCTTTATAAAAGGAACATTACGAAAGAAAATGCGTAGTGAGAGTGTGGGTGGATTCGCCCCGGGAGTACTCTTCTGAAGATCTCAGCCATGCTGACATTGGCGCTCGACGACTATAACGTGCTCGAATGAGAGACTGTTCTATTTGTTCTTTGAAAATGTCGTGAAATCACAAAGAAAATTGTTACGAGTTCTTTCAGATTGAAAAGATTGGATGGCAGTGAGACTTTACTTTATCCCAGTCAGCTTTATTTTGTCAATTTGTTTGGTGTAAGTTTTCCGGTTAAGACATTTCACTCTTGCACAAAGCTGTCAAGGAGTAAAGTAAAACCTTACGGCCAAAAAATACACAAGCTTCCTGTTACTAATCGATGTCCTCCTCTCTCATCATCCAACCAAAAGACACATCCAATATATCCATTAGAGAAAATAAGAATCTATATTAGCTGAAACATCTACATCGTTGTTTTTTATTTATTCTTTCTGTGCGAATTATACAATTTGATCTCATAAGCCAAAAATGGTAACCTTTCCAATTGGAGATCGCCTCCATTCCAACATCTCCAGGATAAGGGGGATCGCAAAGTTTAATACCTGATGATCCCGATCCCGCTCACCTCGGGTCATGTTTTAAGCCAAAATAGCGCAATTTTGGTATAATGTTCAACCCCGAAAATTCAACTTACCTAACCCCGCTTACCTACGGGATACTCAAAAAGTTCTTCTCTTATTTTTTTACCGCCATAGACGCCAAAAAGCTCACCTCGCTCTCTTTCAGCTTTCTCTTCTTCAGTAGCGCGCGCAATCAACTCAGTCAATTCTTCCTGCGACACGATCTTCGAAGCTTCTGGCCGCTCCCATGCAGTCTCCCTTGTCACAGCGTGGTAGAAGTAGACCTTCCCCTCCGGCGATTTCGTTTCGACCCAAAGCTCTTCCGTCGGTAGACAACCAGCCAACTAAAGTTAAAATGACTCATCTGGATGAAGTTTGTATTTCCCTTCGACAAAATGCTACCTTTTTCAGACGATCGCCAGCTGACATCATCGGTGGACCGTTGAAGAATCCAAATCGTCCGGGCGGGCCTCCTCTGTACGGTCCTGGTCCTCCTCGCCACATTCCAGGCGGTCCTCCTGGTGGTCCAGCTGGGCGCGAAGTGAAAGCGACGCCCCGTCCCCCTCGAAAATCGCCACGAAAGCCACCGCGTCCTAAAATTTCAACATAAAGTCAATAAACAACTAGATAAAAGCATTTTTTTGAAAGGGAATCAATGGGCACCTCTGAAAGGTGGAAATCCCTCTTCACCCGGCGGTCCCATTCCAGGTCCTCCAGGGCCTGATGGTCCACCCATTCCTCCACGAAATCCTCCTCGAAAGCCATGCGGGGGTCCTCCACGAAAAGGCGGCCCACCAGCTGGTCCATTGTACGGAACATCATCACCGGGGCCACCAGGAGGCCAGCCTCGACCACTAAAAAAAAGTTAAATAAAAGCTTTCATTATTTTGAAGTGCTCGTTAGTGCCATGCTACAATTCAGGCAAACATATATAAACTTTATGATTTACGGGCTTCTGTTAATATTGCTCTAGCGAGGTTCCACTGTAATTATAATTCAAGGTTATGACAAAAATTTATGAACTAGCAGTTCCACTATTCCTACTATACTAGTTGGACACGCGGGTCCTTTTATGGGTTGGGGCTGGGAACACAAAACATGGTCGGCGCCGGGATTCTACCAATGAGCTACAACGACACGTATTCCACGTATTCCATTGTCGCCAGGGTAGGGCCTTATGCTTTACTGACTACAAAAAAAACCCCCACCGAAAGCCTCCACGTCCACGAAATGGTGGGCCGCCGGGAGGAAATCCGCCGCCATACTCGTCATCGTCATCGTGTGGGGGTTCTCCTTTTCCATCTCCGCCATAGTAGTCGTCCTCCCCTCCACCGCCATCCATTCCATCATCGTTTCCTCCACCACGATAGCGGTCGTTTCCGTTGTGCCCGTAATGCGCCGAGCCGCCGTTATCCATGTCAACGTCATGATCGTCCATTCTGCTTAAAGAAGTTAAGAAATGCAGGAAAAGCTCAACAAATGCATGAAAAGACGATCTTATTGGTAACGTTATCAAAAATGTTCTCAATAATAAAATAAAAGGCTCATAGTTCGCTTAGGAATTCTTTAGCACCCTAGTTAGGAGCTGATTGTTGCACTTAAATTGGAACAGAACACTTAAAACCAGAAAGCAGTAGCCCAAACAGAAAATTTAAGCAAATGAAAAAGTGGGGGTTGCTATTTTGCGCAACTGAGTCTTTGTTGCACTTGTTGAGAGCTACAAAATGACACCAAAATCATAAAGATTGGCCTACTTAGGAGAAAGTTAGGCACTAAGTCAGTTGGGGGGGGGGGGGGGGGGCACTTAAAATTTTCCATTTTCCCAAATGTAGTTTTTCTAGGATAATGCATGACGCTGATCACGAAAAAACATTTTAAAGTTATGTTTTTAATTAAAAAACCTCATGTATTTGAGTAACTCTTTGTTTTGAAAAACTCTGCATGTACCTTTAACTTGGTTTTTACTTGTTAAAAAATCAAGTTAAAGGTTTAATAAGGCCAGCCAGAAAAATGTAGGCGTCTGGCTAATTCCCAACCAAATGACCCTCTTAAGGGTCACAAACTACTCAATATAACGTCAATACATGTTTTTTAATTGAAAATATAACTTCAAAATGTTTCTTTCGTGATCAGTGCCATCAATTACCCTAGAAAAACTACATTTGAGAAAAATGTTAGATACAAAATTAAAAATAAAAAGCACAAAATTATTATATAAAGATATTCAGCTAACGTCCAAAGTATTTAAATGAATATCAAGAAATCTATAAACTGTCGTACAAATAATAACAATTTTTATGCACATCTGTCGCGTTCCTTTTCAAAACTTTGCTCGGTCTTTTCAAAAGAAAGATTTCTTCAACACGCGACGCATCATCGGCTGCGAAATGGTCCGGAAAAAGGCCGGCACGAGCACAAAATAGCCACAACAAAAAGGGCTTTTCTCTTGAGATGAGTCACGAAATGCGCTCATTGACTCAATGTTTTTGATTTTTTTGTCTAAAACCATCAATCTTTTGTTTCTTGGAGCTAGAGTTAAGTCATAAAATTGTGAGCAGTATATAACCTGGAGCTTTACACCAATTCTATTACCACTTTACTCACTTACAGGATAAAAATTTGCAAGAAATGCAAAACCTGATATTGTGAACTTTTTAAACAAACTTTTAATAAGTTGCCCTTGACATTGTTTCTTTTTTTCAATTTTATGCTTGTTCTTTTGTATAATTTTATGATTCAGATGGATCCATTATGGCGTGCGAAGATCGGGCCGAAGCCCGTTGTGCCGGCGAAGATCGATGACGACGACTGGGATACCGATCCCGACTTTGTGGTGAGTTAAATTTTTTTAACATTATAAAGGAAAATAAGGTTCTCGACATTCGTACTACGAATTTTGTTTTTGATTTCATTTGAGTGAAATTTTTAAGATATGACTGCTTTTAATAAGTTTGTTCTGGAGTGATTCCTGAAAAATTGCTAAAATTACCTTTTTAACCTAAACGACATTGACATTTCTTGCTTAGAACAACGTCTCCGAAAAGGAGCAACGCTGGGGATCGAAAACGATTGAAGGAAGTGGCCATCAAGAGTCGCTCAATCTCTCCGAACTGCGACAAGAAGCTTTGAAAGTAAGCCTTGAACTTTGAAAGAAAGTAATGATGTAAAAATAATGTAAATCTTGGTAAATTAACTTGGTCAACTTTTTAAAATATCTTACCTAACAAATGTTTTCTTTTTAGGCTGATGAGACGCAGCGAGAGAAAAAGCTCGCCACGATGCCCAAAGCGAGCGATGGTTATGGAGGAAAGTTTGGAGTTCAACAAGATCGAATGGACAAGGTTTGTTGATAAATATAACACGCTTCTGCAAACAGTTCGAGATCAAATTTTCCACTTTAGTCAGCCGAGACGTTTGAGTACAAGGGGAAAGTCGACCCGCACGCCTCGCAAAAGGATTACGCTACTGGGTTCGGTGGAAAATATGGTAAGTACATTAGGAAAACGATTTAAAGTGTTAGTTTTGAAAAATAAAAATGTCAGAAATTGCAACAAAAATATACGGATTACAATTTTTGTATTTTAGGTGTTCAAACAGATCGACAGGACAAATCGGCCGCTGGATGGGACGATAAGGTCGAACTGAGCAAGCATGACAGTCAGAAGGGTACGTTGAAAGAGCTTTAAGCTTTAAAAATCTTTGTGAATTAAAGAATTTACCATCGAAAGCTTCATCCCAAACGCTTTTTCTAGACTATAAACACGGGTTTGGCGGTAAATTCGGCGTGCAGTCGGATCGACAAGATCAAAGCGCGGCCGATTGGTCCTATGCGCACAAGCTCTCACTGCACCAGTCCCAAAAAGGTTTTTTGGTGAATGGGGATGAGCATGAGCTAAAAACGACGGAACTACTTCATTTTTGTGTGCTTCTCCTTTTTTTTCTTTCACAAATAAGAAAAAGGTTTTATTAGACTACTCATTAACCTTTATAAACTTTGGCCATTCAGAATGGACTCTTGAATCACCGAGTGGATTCTTTTTTTAAACAAACGACCTTTTTCGATTGCATGAATGTGAAATAATGGTTAAACTTAAAATGTTTCAGACAATGTTTTACGTTTAGACGCGGCTTCCGGTTACGGTGGAAAATACGGTGTGCAGACGGATCGACAAGATAAATCAGCTGTCGGGTGGGAAGAAAAGGGAAATGTCGCTCCGCACGAATCGCAGACTGGTTCGTTTTTGTGGTGTTGACACGTTAATTTTCATATGTTTAAGATTACAAGAAGGGCTTTGGCGGCAAATACGGCGTGCAAACGGATCGACAAGACAAGTCAGCGGTTGGATGGGAAGACAAGGCTTCACTAGCAGCTCATGAAAGCCAAACTGGTTTGTTGATTTTAAAATTTTGACTGTTTAAGACTGTTTAAGGTCTTGGTCTAACTAGTATATTAGTTTAGATGATATCATGTTTAAACAAGTTTTCTTTAGATTACAAGAAAGGCTTTGGCGGCAAATATGGAGTGCAAACGGATCGACAAGACAAATCGGCTGTTGGATGGGGCGAGAAGGAGTCCCTTGCCGCGCACGAAAGTCAGACTGGTAAAGGAAATGAGTTTATGCTTAAATTGAACTCTATTCAGATTACAAGAAAGGCTTTGGCGGGAAATTTGGCGTTCAAACGGATCGACAAGACAAATCGGCGGCGAATTGGGAAAATAAGAGCGAAGTGGCACCACATGCATCGCAAACTGGCAAGGGTTTTTGTGTTAAACTGGAGCAGTAACACAGCTTTTGTACTATTTAGGCATTCTAAAGCTGAACTTAAGTTCATTGAAATTGAGCCTAGTATTTAAGCTTAAGCCTAGTACTTCTTTTATCCAATTTTAAATTTAGACTACAAGAAAGGCTTCGGTGGTGCTTTTGGTGTGGACAGTGATCGTCAGGACAAATCGGCCGTCGGTTTCGAACATCACGAGCAATTGAGCAAGCACGAGAGCCAATTGCACAACAAGAAGGTCAACTCGAATGATGAACAGAGTCGCGGTGGAGCACCGGAGCCACCAAAGTTCGCTCGGGAGAAACCACAAGTTGCCGGTTAGGAAAATACAGTTTACTCTTTATCCTTATTGATTTTAGAGAAAGGCAACGCTTCGAATCTCCGTGCACGCTTTGAACAAATGTCAGCTCAAGATGTAAGTTGTCGAACTTTAACTTTGAAGTTACACAAATTTTTTAGTCAACTGATCGAGTGGCCGCTGAACGAGAGCGTCGACGAAAGGAAGACGAGGCGCTTCGTGAAAAACAACGACATGATGAAGAGGAACGACAACGACGGTCGGTTTTGGTTCTTAAAGAAACGTCGTCAGTACCATATCATACTTCATTAAAGCTTAGCATGCCAAGTAAATACTCAACTTATTGCTTCTGTTTTAGAGTTGAAGAGGAATGGAAAAAGCGAGAAGATGCTGGACTTACGCAAGGCGGCGATGAACACAACGAGGAAGAGGAACGGCAGCGCCATGTATGTCTTGCAAAGTTTTTATTACCTAAATGTGAAATTCAGCATGTATGCACTTATAAAACATAAAATGCTAACTTACTAATTAAAAACTACCTCTAGGAATTATATTTTATCATCTTCATCAACATTTAATTTTTTTAGCTTCGCGAAATGAATGCTGCTCCGAAGAGGATGGGCCCGGCTCCAGGAGCGATCTCTGTAATGCCAACTCCAAAAGTCGCCTCTCCCGAGCCAGTCCACGCCGCTTCACCACCAGTTGTCAATCAGTATTATGAAGTTGGTTTGGGATTTTATGATTGTTATGCAAATTTCTTTAGGAACCACCCGCTGAGGCACCCGTACCACAGGCTCCCGTCGCCGTGCTTCCACAAGCGCCACCTCCATCATTTTCCAATTCGGCCAACGCGGCGCTCAAATCAGGACTCCGTCGTGCTCCATCGAGTGATGAGGAACCGGATAACGATGATGAATGGAAAGACGATCCACCCACTCCATCCAAGCAACCTATCATTGTTGGTTTTACAAGAGTACATTTTTTAAATTCCATAAATCGCTAATTCTGTACTTTTAATACACAATTTTAGCAAACCTCTTCGTCGGCACCACCACCTCCACAATCGCTGCCTCCACAATCGCTGCCTCCACAGTACGACTTTGTGCCCGGAGATGAGGTTCGTTTATAAGGAAGGGTACGATAAGAGGCTTTTGATTTGATAAGTTTCAAATGTTACAAGTGCTTTTAAAATATTTCTAATTTAGCCACCACCACCCGCTCCGGCTCCATCTATTCCAGCTGCCGCTCCGCAATTGAGCAGCATGTACGACTTGCCTCCATCCGATGATCGTGGAACTTGGGGTTAATTTTGACTTTGAGCAGTAGTTGATCTTAGTTTAAGTACCAATAAACTGTTAAGCGTAATGTTTTTCTATTATAATCAGCTAAAAACATTTGTCATTTAGCCATCGCTCTCTACGACTACGAGAAACAAGACGACGACGAGATCAGCTTCAATCCAGATGACATCATTACTCACATTGAACAGGTTTGGTGAACTTTTTTAGGCTTAAAATTCGATAATAAGTAGGGGGTAATATGATATTTTACTGTTAACTCCAGTCTACTTTTTTTTATTGTTTATTTTACAGGTTGACGCCGGCTGGTGGCGCGGTCGCTGCAATAACACCTATGGACTCTTCCCGGCAAACTACGTGGAAATTCAAAAATAAGTTATATTTGTAATCTAATCTAATTTATTCTTAAACTATTGTCTGAAGTGCCCTTAATCTGTGTCTTCCTTTTTTGTCAAAAATTTTCTTTAATTTCATATCCGCAAGTCCTCTTGAGTGCTTTACCGCCCCGAAAATGAATCTAGCTTCAACTTTTGCTCATTTGTGTCATTTCGGAAAAAATTCACTTTAGCATTTTCTGCAAAATTTTTTGAATCTATAGTTTTCTGCTTCTTTTTTGTGACCAAGGATGTTCTTTTTGCAAATTTGCTAACTTATTCGCTTCATCACTTGTGATTTTGAAGTTGTATAAATGCTTTATTTAGATTTAGAGCAAAAAGAAGTGGCAACATTTTGAAACAAAATTGCGCAAAACTAAACGAATCAGAGCAAAGACATGAAGATTACTCGTAGTGAATCACAGGATATGGAAATTTTTAAGTGTTTTGTACACGAAAGTCGCTTTTAGCATTGAATTTAAAAAAAAAATTGATCAAATTTGAAAACTCTCGAGCGCTTTTGTCAACGATTTTACCTTTTTCGAGTGCCTCTTCCGTGACTTTTTCACTTTTCCACTTCGGACCTGTAATAGAAACAAAAGTGTAAGCCATTGTTGACGTTTTCGTTGGGTCAACGGGAATTACGGTACTTAGCTATAGCTTTATACTATTAGTAAAGCGATTACGGTATCTATCGAATAAAAGTTGTGCTTTACCGACCTTGCTCAATTTCAAAGCGCTCTTTTTCTTTTGTTTTTCCTTTTTTTTCGTCGTTTCCGTATCGTTTTCGAGTGATTGTTTCTGTAATTTTTTTAATTTTCGCAAAAAAACTTCAAATTATCAACAACTTAATGTTTACTTTACTGTTAGAATCATCATTTACGAATTTCCTTTAAAGCTCCTTTATAGTTCCTTCAAAGCTCCTTTAAAGCTCCTTTATAGTTCCTTTATAGTTCCTTTATAGTTCCTTTATAGCTCCATTTACGAATTTCTGTATTCTCCATATTTCACTCACCTCCACATCAACGTCAACGCTGCATTGAGCACAAAACCGAACTCGTTGCTTTAAACGCTTGAAAGCTTGAGTCTGAAATCGGAAATGATAAGGGAAAATGTTGTAGACTTTTGACTACAAAACAAGACTACAAAACATTACAAATCACATTGCTTTCTATTGGGTTGGGGAGAATGAGTCGGCGCCCAACTTTAAAGGGACTTTTTGCACACATAAAGCCTTCTTTAAACATACGTTTGGTTTCATCAAAAGGATCCACTATTTCTCTACAAAATCACTTTTGAGAGATTCCACAAAGCTTTTCTTTCGTGGAGTTTATGAACTTCCAAACGCAGCTGGTTAAAATGGCAAAGAGTCCGACTCATCATTTGAACAGTTTCTTTCACATAAACCTTCTTTGGTGTTTATATAAAAAAGATAGAGCACATTCAATTACTTAAGTTGCCAAATTTGCAGGAAGATCCCACCAATGGTTTTTTCTAGATCACAGTTTGTAGTTTTTGTGAAAAAATGGCTTTTTCTTGAGCGGAGGCGCTGTTTGAATTTTCTTTTAAATGTCATTTTGTAGAGAATTAGTTAACCATTCTACTCATATCAAACGCATATTATTTGACGAAGTCGAATTGAAGTTTTAGACATTTTTTTCATTTTCGGCGCCGACTCATTCTCCCCAACCCAATATTATGAATTTTTTTCTTTCAACGTACGATATTTTGTCGTTTCCATTCGGCATCTTGTAAAGCGTCCTCGAAAAATATTAGCTCTGAAGAAGTTAAGCGCTTTTTCTAAAAATTACCATTAATTATTACTTTGTTAGAAGAATAAATAATAGTAAATAGATTTAAATTGAATATTTTATCCGTAATCTTGCCACGATTTTGATTAGACTATCTACTTTTCGATTTTTCGTTATTCTTTATGTGTTCCTCAGTGAATTAGAGAAAAGAAGTTAAGCGTTTTTTCTAAAAATTACTATTAATTATTACTTTGTTTAAAGAATAAATAATAGTAAATAGATTTAAATTGAATATTTTATCCGTAATCTTGCCACGATTTTGATTAGACTATCTATTGATTTTTACCAATCGATCCATCTTGAATTCAGCTTTAGAATGAGCTATAAAACGTCAAAATTGGACAAATTTAAGGTACTCTCCCAAAAAATCGGAAAGAACTTTTCCACCAACCCAATGGATCTATTTTTTTTTGATTAGACTATCTACTTTTCGATTTTTCGTTATTCTTTATGTGTTCCTCAGTGAATTAGAGAAAACTAAAAGGATAAAAAGCACAAAAAAAAGGACACGTTTTTCGAAAGAACGCTAGAAATTACTTGCTCAATTTTCCCCTCTTCAATCCCGTCTCGCCGCAACTTGGTCGACAATTTCTGCTTCGTTTCGGCTAGCTCCGATTTTAGAGAATAAATTTGCTTCTGGAGTTGAGTCACCTAGAGCTAACAGATAGGTAGAAATGTGTAAATTTAGATTAAATAATAGATAGATTAGCGAAATATGAAAATTTGGATATTTGTTCGATGATTTACAAATATTTTTTTGCCACCAACCGTCTCCTTTCTGCGTCGCTTCTCGTTGCTCAGCTTTCCCTTGAGAAAAAGAATCTCGTCCTGAAAATTGAGTCAGATATTTAGGAAATTTAAACCATTTCTAGGTATATATGCATTAGAAAATGCTTATAATACAACTTACCTGTAAATTTGTACTTCTACTTACCTTTCTAATTCTACTTACCTTTCAACTTGTACTTATCTTTCTACTTCTACTTACCTTTCAACTTGTACTTACTTTTCAACTTCTACTTACTTTTCTACTTCTACTTACTTTTCAACTTGTACTTATCTTTCAACTTGTACTTATCTTTCTACTTCTACTTACCTTTCAACTTGTACTTATCTTTCTACTTCTACTTACCTTTCAACTTGTACTTACTTTTCAACTTCTACTTACTTTTCTACTTCTACTTACTTTTCAACTTGTACTTATCTTTCAACTTGTACTTATCTTTCTACTTCTACTTACCTTTCAACTTGTACTTATCTTTCTACTTCTACTTACCTTTCAACTTGTACTTATCTTTCTACTTCTACTTACCTTTCAACTTGTACTTATCTTTCTACTTCTACTTACCTTTCAACTTGTACTTACTTTTCAACTTCTACTTACTTTTCTACTTCTACTTACTTTTCAACTTGTACTTATCTTTCAACTTGTACTTATCTTTCTACTTCTACTTACCTTTCAACTTGTACTTACTTTTCTACTTCTACTTACTTTTCTACTTGTACTTATCTTTCAACTTGTACTTATCTTTCTACTTCTACTTACCTTTCAACTTGTACTTACTTTTCTACTTCTACTTACCTGTAAATCCTCGGGTTTTTCTCCAGTGTTTTTTGTCGAACTCGCCGCGAAATCCATCTATGGAAAACTAATTGGTTAAAAATTTGCATCATAAATCATTTTATATATAAAAAATCAATATTCAAATAGAAATCTACACCTTTCGAAACGCGATTCATGTTTTTTTTGCGTTTTTTGAATTTGCTTGACTCAAGCGGCGATAAATTGGATACAAACTACAGAAAAGGCTTATGCAAACGGGAGAATGGATCTGCTTCAAGTGAAAATGTGCATCTAGATCTATATAAAGAGATAAATCTTTGAAAATTATAGATTTCATCATATTACGTTGACAGCTAAAAGAATTGCATAGGAAAACTGAACTTTTTTCAGATCCAGCCTCTTCACAACTCATCCAGCAAGCTCTAACTATGTTTTATTGTGAGATGCTTTTATTGTTTTGTGTAGCTTGGAACAAAAAAAATCTTACAAAACCAAAGTCATTGAAGATATTGAAATCCCGCGAACCACTTTACAACACAAAACAACTAGAGCTTTGGAGGGTTTCTCTCAGTTTGTTACATTGCCACTGGAGATGTTGCAAAATCGATTTTTCTGGGTCTGGGCCTGGCTGGCTATAGCTGAGCCGACTTACAGCTTGAGCTAGAGTCAATTGGATCACTCAGCTCGTCACCATCACGTTACGTTTACGCAAAGTTGAATAAAGTTAGCTCAGCATTGTGATTTTCAAAATATATCCAGCTAAACAAGCCAAATTTGCATTTGGTTGTTGATAAGAGTTTTAGTTTTTAGGTCAAATTCATTGAGAGTGAAGTGTACCCAGTACAACAACTTACTTTCAGTTTTCTTATAAGTAACACCAGAGAGAGATTTTCTTGACTAATTCTGGGAATGTTTATAGTCTTGTTTTTAATCATACGATTATAAAGTGCGTTGCAAAATGATAGGACCACTCTCGATTTTTGCGATTTTCGATTTTAAATAACTAAAAATGCAAAACAATGCTTAAATTCTAATTTTATATACAAAAGCACGAAGAAGAAGAAGAAGAAGAAGAAGAAGAAGAAGAAGAAGAAGAAGAAGGACAAGAAGAAGAAGAAGAAGAAGGACAAGAAGACGGAGAAGAAGAAGAAGAAGAAGAAGACGGAGAAGGAGAAGAAGAAGAAGAAGAAGGACAAGAAGAAGAAGAAGAAGAAGGACAAGAAGACGGAGAAGAAGAAGAAGAAGAAGAAGACGGAGAAGGAGAAGAAGGAGAAGAAGGAGAAGAAGGAGAAGAAGGAGAAGAAGGAGAAGAAGGAGAAGAAGGAGAAGAAGGACAAGAAGACGGAGAAGGAGAAGAAGGAGAAGAAGGAGAAGAAGAAGAAGGACAAGAAGACGGAGAAGAAGAAGAAGAAGAAGAAGACGGAGAAGGAGAAGAAGGAGAAGAAGGAGAAGAAGGAGAAGAAGGAGAAGAAGGAGAAGAAGGAGAAGAAGGACAAGAAGACGGAGAAGGAGAAGAAGGAGAAGAAGGAGAAGAAGGAGAAGGAGAAGAAGGAGAAGACGGAGAAGGAGAAGAAGAAGAAGAAGGAGAAGAAGAAGAAGAAGAAGAAGAAGAAGAAGGACAAGAAGAAGAAGAAGAAGAAGGACAAGAAGACGGAGAAGAAGAAGAAGAAGAAGAAGACGGAGAAGGAGAAGAAGAAGAAGAAGAAGAAATAAATAAATAAATACAAATATATACCTTTATATACAAATACCGTTTGCCAAATAATTTACTTTAAAAGGCAAAATTTTTAAAGCATTTCTTTATTTTACACCTGTTGCAAAATGATGGGACCACTACGTTTCTTTTCGATTTTCTACCTGTAATAACCATGTTTTTTGCTTACTTTTTAATCATTTTTATTTTTTAGGAAGATGGGGCGTGGAATATCGCTTTCGAGGATCGAACAGATGAAAATTTTGATTTTGAAAGGAAGAAAGTTGTCGAATCGGAAAACCGTAAAAAAAATGAAGCGCTCGCACCAAGTTGTCTGAAATTTCTTGAAGGATCCTTTCAAGTATGGCAAGAAAAAGTCTCCGGGGTGCCATCGAAAGCTCACGGTCCGCACTGAACGGCATATGGGACGTCTGTTGTCGAAGTTAAACCAAGGGATTCTCAAAACTGGTTATTGTTGTTTATCTAAGGTAAATTTTTCAAATCAAAGTTGTAGCTCTTACGTTAAAAGATCTTCAGAATGTTTTGTTGAAAGTAAAAATTTCTAGAAAGACTACCATAATTATTTCAATAAAAAAAGCCTTAAATTCCTTGAAATCGGGACTTTTCCGAACTTCTTTTAAGTTAGAATTCGAGATTTTAGTCCAAATAGAAGTATTTTAGTCCTGTCAGCAAAATTGGAAACGTATTCAAAAAAAATTCATAAGAGGCCCCAGAGGGATTTTTTTTTTCTGGGAGATTCTCTATGGATCCGGAATCATTTCTATGAGAATAGTTTCACTTTTAAACCTCTTTTTTTGGTACGTTTTAAACAAAACTCTATCGTTTTGAATAGTTTTTAACAATCCTCAAAAATTTTGATTCATCTACGGGACCCTTACCTACTTTTTTAATCGACTGATTTTGAGGGATCGAAAAATAGAAGATCTGCGTCTTCTATTGGAATATTTCCAGTATACATGATTTCCAATCCAACAGAACTTTCCTATTCTCTTCTTTCTTTCATTTTATTCCCCTTGTGGGGGTTGTGCGCCGATCCCGCCGGTAAGTGCAATAGCGGGCCGACGCTGTATGGCGAGAAGCAAGCTTCTACAAACCATACCAGTTCCAAAAATTGATTAATCTCGATGAGTTCAATAGAACTCGTACCGGAGATTAAGCCGATAAGAACAGATTTAATTTTATTCAGCGAATATTGGCCATGGTATAGAAACCCCAGGCGGTCCATCACAGTTTACAGGGCAATAGGAAATGTTTGATACAACCAATCCAGAGATCGGATTGCATAGACTAAAATTACAAGAGAGAATCAAGAAAAGTATGGAAGTGGACAAAAGGAATTTGACTCACTTATGGAAATCACAACTTGAAAAAGAGAATTAAAACATGAATATAAATCTTATGAAATTACAAATCACAAGATTAAGCACAAAATTGTAAATTTAAGAAGAAATATTTCGTCTTTAGTAGAGAATATTTAGTCTTTAGTAGACAATATTTAGTCTTTAGTAGACAATATTTAGTTTAGCAGAATTAATCATTGTTTTTCGAGGGGAGTCGCACCATTTACACATCTTGGAATTGTTTTTGGCCGGTGACGTGTTCAACGTAGATATCTCGGGACCATTTGATTGCATCGGAAACCATCAGCTTGCGCATCAGTTCGCTGTATTTGAGGGAGACGCCGAGTTTGCGGAGAATGTAGTCATTTTGGAAATCCCATCCACCCAAAGGACCGACGATGAAGGCGTCCAAGTAGACCTCGTATCCGAGTTGGAGGAAGTGTTGTTGGATGTGGTCGTACTTCCGCTTCTTTTCTTGTCTGGCCGCTTCGAAGGCGACGGCTCGATTCTCAAATGGCATCGTGACATCGATGATGGTGACCTTCTTCTCGGTGTCGTCGACAAGGAGCATGTCTGGGCGAAGCTTGCTGTTGAAACCAGGCACTTGTTGATTGACACAGAGAGTCGTCGTTGCTGGCGGTTTGATGGCGTTGACGAGGCGGTCGAGGATGGCATTGTGACGTCTGGTGATGGCTGTCATGTGGGGAAGACAATGGCACAAGACGTGTGGGAGTGTTTCGTCAGCTCGGGCACATCTCCGACATCTTTTGTCTCGAACTCCATGACGGATGGCTCCATTGAGTGGTACGGTGTTGAGACGGGCTCGATGAATGAACCTCCAATCGGCGAATCGGGTGAAGCGTCCTTCTTTGATGAAGTGGTTGGAGGCCGGATTGGAGGTGACGAGCGAGTAGACTTTGCCTTGGTCTGGTTTGGCGATGAGTCGCTTTTTGAAGAAGTCTCGAACACCGTCTTTGAGGGCCCTCTCGGTTTGCCTTGGTTCGATCATTCCACCATTCATCGTGAGTTGGAGTTGGCCGTTCGTCCATTCCCAATTGACAGCTACTTTGGCTTGCAGTCGCCTAGTCGCCACTCGGAGTCGGCTCCATGTGTTCTCCAAGTCACCAGATTCTTTGATGAAGTCGCCGTTCATCTTCCCGTTCAGATAGTCGGCCAAGTCGTCCCCATTTGCTGCTCGCTTGATCTTCTTGGCGACCACGTCTCGGAGTTGATTCAGCGCCACGTCACGCATGTCGAGTGAGTTGAAGAGGTTGACGGCGTGGACGAGTTGGGAGACATCGGCGAGCGGATTGGTCGGAAGGAAGCCGAGACCTCCCATTTGGTTTGACAAGTAGAGGAGTTCGGCACTGGCGTTTGCTGGGATGTTGAGCCCCTTCTTTCCAACGGCTTTGAGCTTCTTGTCGAACAGCGTCAACGACTTCTTTGGCACCTTTCCATTCTTCATGTGGAACGAGAGACACGGCAAGACAAAGGTGTTAACTGCGTCGGCCTTCTGCCACGGAGCGAGGAGCGACTTGTCGATCGCTTCCACGTGGTTAGTCATTTTCTCGATGACCTTCTCTGCCGATGGAGCCGTGTGGTAGCCTGTAGGAACGCCAAGATGCTCGTAGTTGTCGTCTTCTTGGAGTGTCGTCATCTCTTTGCCTTGGATCTTCAGTTTGTAGTTGAGGGCCGTGCTTTTTGCACCATCGACGATGAGGGAGGCACACTTTCCGGCGTTGAATTTGAGACCAGCCCAGTCAGCGACTTTGGAGACAACGTGCAGTTGCATCTCGAGTTGAGCGACATCCCTAGCAACCAAAGCAATGTCGTCGGCGTAGGCAAGTTGAGAGACGAGTCTTCCCTCCAGGTTGAAGCCATGTTTGAGGTCGTCGACGGCGCGCAAGATTGGTTCAAGGGCCAAGTTGAAAATGATCGGGCTCAATGGACACCCTTGCTTGACCCCGGCTTGAATTCTGATTGGTGCAGTCGGACCATTTGAGCTTCTGATTGAGGTGGTCACATTGGCATAGAGACGTCGAACAACGCTGATGGAGTTTTCGTTGAGACCAGCAAATTTGAGGCTTGTGAAGATCGTTTGGTGGGGCACGGAGCCAAAGGCATTCGAGAGGTCAAGCCAAGCGACACCAACTTTCTTCTTCTTTCTTCTCGCTTCTTTGAGGACCGTCTGTAAGAGGAAGTTGTGTTCTGTGCATCCATCCACTGCCATGAAGCCCTTTTGGGACTTGGAGACACGACCATGACGAGAAGACCATTTGCCGAGCCGTTCTGCGAGCACCGATGCATAGATCTTTGCCACCGTGTTGGACATCGTGATTGGCCTCCAGTTTGCCACGTCCTTCTTGTCACCTTTTTTGTGGATGAGCACCGTCGAGGACTCGTTCCAGCTCTGGGGCACGTGTTGAAGGCTTTGAACCTTGTTGAGGAACGACGAGAGGATCTGGCATCCGAAGTCGAACTTCTTCCAGTGGCTGTAGCGGAGTTTGTCGGGTCCCGGAGCGGTGTTGGAGCACCTTCGGAGCCGATTCCAGACTTCTTGTGGCGTGAATGGGGCAGCAAACGGGTCGTCTTCTACTGGTGGCACGTCTTGATCATGTGGTGGCACTTCGTCCGGAATTTGTGGGAAGATTGGAGGCGATGGACCGAAGACGGCTTCAAAGTGTTGTTGGAGGTCGTCGGCTGGGAGGTCACAAAATGGAGATTCGGCTTCGACGACTTCTCGGAAGGCACGTCGACGGTTTGACCTGTAGAGCTTCTGAATACGAGAGGCAGCAACAGCATCGTATTGTGGTCGTCTTGGTGGTGGTCGTCTTCTCCCATCGGTCCGTCTTGGCGCAGCACCAGTTCTCCCATCTTCCTCGGGTGACTTCTGATGGATCGCTTCGACGAGTTCGTCCAGCACTTGATCCATTTCTTGCGACGTCGTCACGCCATCGATCCTTTGAATCCATTGTTGTTGAATTCGGGTGCCGGTCGGCTGAGCTTGGTTTGGCACTCTTGGGGTGGCAGCTCTTGGCGACGGCGGTGGCGTGGCTCGGTGGATGTGGTTCGAGGGCGTGGCGTTGAGGTGGATTGGTGATTGTGGTGGGCTGGGTCGTCTTTGCTCGTTTGGTTTTGCAATGGCTTCTCCACGTGTTGGCGATCCCTCAAAGACAACGATTGCTTCCTGTGTTTCTTGGCTGGTTTCTTGACGCGCTGCACTAGGGTCGGCTTGGCTTGAATCTTTTTGCGGGGTGGGCGGCTCTGTTCTCTTTTCGGAATCGAGTTCCGTGACGTTTCTTTTAGCCGGTCTCCCACACTCTTCCGCGTCACGGAGCCTTGCCTTCCCGGGTGGAGTGGTCGTCTCTAGTGCCTTCTTTTGCTTTTCACACGTCTTCAAATGTGACTTGAAGTCCCTTTTGTGTTTGAATCGCCCTCGACACTTGACACATACAAGGACCAATTTGGCCAAATGCATCCGTAGGTGTGTCTGGAGGGCTTTCATTTCAGAGTAGATCGTTTCCTTGTTGGGACAAAGTCGACATTTCAAGTCGAGGTTCTCAGCATTTGCCGTCTCGATGCAGTAGTCGTTTGGAGGTGGCTGTTCTTCTTCTTCACATGACCGTTTCTGGTGGGCTTCGGTGGTCTTTTTGTCCTTGAAGAG